TGGATTCTGGGTGTTTATGTGACTTCTCAACCTGGACAGATAAAGGCAGGTTGCTTACTTGTAACTGTCGTTCTTTGAGTGGTCCTCTGTGCATTCACACATTATGGGTGCGGTGCCTGCAGCCAGGAAAAATTCAAAGCTTTAACAGATTTTGGTGGGAACTTCGCACCCCTCCCCCACTATACTATAAAGGGCAGAGCGCCCACCATTTCCCCCAGTCTCATGGAGACAGTCTGATCGCCCCCTGGTGGATAAGCAGTTAGCATGAGGTGCCACCAGTGAAAACAAAGTAAAGAAGGAGCACTGTAATGAATGAATATAAATGTATATACATATAGTAGTCGCACAGAAGGAGAAAACCTTTGTGAACCCAATCACCAACACTGAGTGGGGCCGGCGGGGTGGGTTGTGTGAATGCACAGATGACCACTCGAAGGACAGTTACAGGTAAGCAACCTGTCTTTCTTCGTCGTGGTCTCTGTGCATCACACATTATGGGTGACTAGTAAGCTTACCAACTGGAGGCGGGACGGTGTCGTCAGTGGAGAATTGAAGACAGGACAGCACAACCAAAGGAGCAGTCCTGTTTGGCATGGACGTTAAGTCTATAATATCTGGTGAATGTGCAAGGAGTCATCCAGGTTGCTTCCTTGCAGATGTCAGGCAATGGAATGCCAGCAGAAAAAGCCGAAGAGGCTGCCACAACTCTGGTAGAATGGACCTTAAGTATGACAGGGAGTTCTAGCTTAGACAGCTGATATGTCAGTTCGATGGTTTGGATGATCCATTTGGACAGTCTTTGTGAGCCCTTATCGTGTTCCGAGTACTTAATGAAAAGGTGTTTGGTCTTTCTGAAGTTCTCTGTATGGGACCGATAGAAAGCCAGGCAATGGCGTACATCGAGATAATGGAGAGATTTCTCTATCGGTGTCGAGGGCAAAGGGAAGAAGGCTGGTAGGACAATGTTCTGATTAATGTGAAAAGGTGTAGCAACCTTAGGAAGGAATGCAGGATCAGTCCGAAGAACGACCTTCTCCTTATGAAAGTTGAGGTAAAGAGGGTCAACACGAAGAGCACAGTTCACTCGCCCTCCTAGCCGAAATGATGGCGACAAGAAAGGCAGTTTCCCAGGAAAACAAACGTAAGTCAGTGGTTGCTAAAAGTTTGAAAGGAGCTATGGTAAGAGCTTGCAATACAACAGATAGGCTCCATGTTGGTACCACTGACTGAACTGGAGACTGGAGATTTTGTAATCCTTTCAGGAAACGACGGACAAGAACATGAGAGAAAACAGAGGAGCCGGATATAAGACCATGAAAGTGAGAGATTGCAGCAATGTACACCTTAATAGAAGTAGGTTTAAGTCCGTGCTGGTGCAAAGAGAGTAGAAAAAGTAAAATATTGTCAATCGAAGCCAAATGAGACAGAAAATGGTTGCTTGCTGCGAAGATGGTAAAATGCTTCCATTTAGCCTAGTAGCAGCGGTGGGTCGTCAGTCGTAGAGCAGATTGGAGAATGAATTCAATATTCAGGTGAAGGAGGTTAGAATTCAATATGGGGCATGTAGGCTCTGTCGGTACTGAAGATCGTGTCGATACCGAGGATTGTACCAGGGTCGTCGGGACCGATCAGGTTGTCGGTACCGAAGTAGAGGAGGAAGCAGTAGTCACTGAATGAGCCACGTGGTGAGGTTGAAAGAATCAAGATCGGGATGGTGAATTGCCCCATTTTCTTGTGTAATGAGATGCAGAACCCGTGGGAGACAAATGAAGGTTTGCCAGGAGAGGTCGAGGATGGTCAGAAACCAAGGTTGGCGAGGCCACCATGGCATTCTAAGAATTCCCTGGGCTTTGTCTTGAACAATTTTTGCCAGGGGGTCTTTGTGATTAGTGGGATTGGGGGGAACGTGTAGGAAAACATGTTCATCCAACTCACCATCAGAGCATCTCCCAGCGAATTCGGGCCCACGCCTGCCCAGGAGCAATAATCTGTGCACACTGAATTGGCCACCGTAGCAAACAGATCTATGGTCGGGATGCCCCAGCACTGAAAAATGCTGTTGCAAATCTGTCGGTCCAACTCCCACTCATGAGTTGTGGACATCCGCCTGCTGAGGGCATCAGCTTCTTCATTGTCTACATCAGCGAGATGAACCACTAGTAGGGTAATCCCTCTGGGGATACACCAGTCCCATATTTGCAGTGCAAGGTGAGCCAACGGTATCAATTTCGTACCACCGTGCTTGTTGATATAAAATACAGTCATGACATTGTCCGAAGCTACTTGAACACCTCGGTCCCGGAGGGTGGATTTGAAGGATCGAAGAGCTTTGAAAACCACAAGTAGCTCCAGGTAATTGATGTGCCTGGACTTCTCGTGACCTTGCCAGGTGCCATGAGTATGTAGGCTGGCACAATGAGCACCCCATCCCATAAGGGAGGCATTGGTGTAGAGAGTCAGTGACGGTTGTGGCTGGTGGAATGGGACTCCTATGGAAAGATTGTCTTTGTTCGTTCACCAAGTCAGGGTCTGACAAAAGCAGATGGTAGCAAAGGACAGTTTGGAGAGTCGTGTTGCAGATGGAAGAGGCTGTTGAACCACGGTTTCAGGGGTTGCATTTGACGTCTGGCGTTGGGTACAATGGCAACTGTGGAGGCCATGTGTCTGAGTAGCTTCTGTATGGAGAGCGCAGGAGTAGGTCGGCCAACATGGATGCGATGAATCAACCATTGAAGCTTGTCCACTCGAGCCTTTGGTAAGAACGCCCTGGCTTGGATCGAGTCAAGACGTGCTCTGATGAAGTTGATGACCTGTGAGGGAATGAGGCAGGATTTTTTGATATTAATACAAAGTCTGAGTTCGTCTAAGAGTCTACACGTAGTATCAATGGCTGTGAGTAAGTTCTCTCAGGATGAGGAGACAATCAACCAATCATCCAGGTAGGGATATATTTGGACACCTTGTAACCGAAGGTGGGCACAGACAGGTGCCATACATTTTGTGAAGACTCGTGGAGCAGTAGTGAATCCAAATGGGAGAACATTATACTCAAAAATGTTGGAGTCAACAGTGAACCGAAGGAGTCACCTGTGAGACGGATGGATGCGAATATGGAAATATACATTCTTCAAGTCCAGGGAAGTGAACCAATCTTCTCTCCTGAGCAATGGAAGGATATTCTGAAGGTCATCCAAAATTTCTTAGTCTTGATGAACTTGTTAATGCCACATAGATCAAGTGTCAGACATAGAGCACCGTCCCATTTCAGGACCATAAAATATCTTGAGTAGAAACCATGAAGCCCCTCTGAGCGAGAGATCTGACGAATCGTTCCTTTACAAAGTAGCTGGGAAACTTCGTCTCTTAGGACTGTCGATGGAGAAGTGTAACGAATCGGTCCAGAAGGAGGCACGGTATCAAACTTGATTTTATATCCGTGCTCAATGATAGAAAGTACCCACTTATCAGATGTGATGGACTCCCAAATGGGAAGTCAGCCTTGCAGTCAGTCCCCAGAAGGGAGGAGGGAAGGTGGGTGAAGAGAGCGAAGATCAGCCCCTGTGTCTCGTCAACGCTGTCACTTGTCATTGGGTTGACGGCGTTGGCCCTGCTGGAAATGGGTGGTAGGCTGGCCTCGGTTATGCTGTTGACGAGGCTGATACTGCTGGCGAGGCAGGTAACGCTGGTAAGGTTGATACCAATAGTATTGAGATTGTGGCCACTTACGTCGATTCGCGTTCGGTATCTCCATCTTCCAAGCAGTGGCTCGAGCATTGTAAATATGCTCGAGCTTGTGGTCCGTGCAACCATTGAAAAGACGGGACCCATCAAAAGGCATGCCTTCGATGTGCCTCTTCATCTTGTCCAGGAAATTGGAGGAGTGTAGCCACGCGTGTTGGTGTAAGGCGATGGATCCGATGAGTGCCAGGGATTCGCAATGTACATGATGCTGCGCTGTACTGAGTTGTTGTATGGCTAGCTACATAGACTCACAGATGAAAACACAGGCCAGGTCGCGTTGTTGTTCCAGGATGGTAGAGGTGATGGATTCCAGCCTCTGCATCAGGAAGTACTGATACCTGGCCATTGTTGCCTCGTGATTTGATATCCGCAAGCCCAGCCCCATAACCGTGTAAATATGGCATGACATCAAGTCTATCTTCTGGCCCTCATTGTCTCACGGAGTCGAGTGTTCCTTATTATCTCGACCCTGCAATGACTCAATGACTATTGAATTAGGTTTGGAGTGCTTGAGTAAGAATGGAATGTCCTGCTCTCTAACCTTATACATGGACTCGTATCGCTGAGACATTGGATGCGGCTGGCTCAGAAACTCCCAGGTGTCCATCATAGCCTGGCAAAGAGTCGTTATCAAGGGGATGGAGATGGTGGATGACTGTTCCTTACGAACGATGTTGTAGGAGTGATTGTCATTGGGGTTTGCCCGATGCTCTACTTCGATCTCCAATGACCTTGCAAGGCGAGCCATGAGCTCTCCAAACGTAGAGTATGACTCTTCTGGAGACCCAGATCCCTGGGTCAAAATGATGGCATCAGAAGAGGTGGAAACCTGATCCGAGTCCTCAGAGTCCAAGTGATAGTGGTAAGGTGGACTAGAGGACAAGCCGGCCGGAGACAGAGGAGGGCGGGAGGTTGCAGCCACCGAGGTGGAAGGTGCTTTCGCCCAGAATGGACGAGAGCAATGCCTGCGCACCGAAGGCATGAGATAGTAGCCGTACGGTGGAGGGTAGTCCCAATGATAGGACTGAGATGGATCGAACCCTCCATACGGCATCGGGACCCAGCTCCTGGAGGACTGCCCCGAGACACGCTGGTGGTGACGCGCGTCAGATGGAGGCGGAGGCAATGCCTCTGGTGACGATGGCATTGAAGTAGGCGAGTAAGCTGGTGGATGACCTGGTTGAGATTGGGGAGGTGAATCCCGTATCTTGGTGTCCAACATCGATCTGCGGAGCACTGCCTTGGAGCGATCCAAAGCCAAAGGAGCCAACTATGAGGGGATCCAGGTGGTGTAACTTGCATGAGGGCCTGAGCGGTCAGATCCAAAGGGGTCGGGACTGATGGGGCGGTCAAACCTGAGTCCCTGCGAGGCTCCTGGGCAAGCTTGCGCTGCTTGTGTACAGCTTGTCGGCTTTAGTCTTCTTAGACTTTTTCAAAGCCGATGGATCCTCCAGCCCGGTGTGCTTCCGTTTCTCCTTTTGTTTCTGGAAGGAGGAATGGGAGGAGCGAGTGGTCTCCTTGGAAGCAGTCCCCTCGGATGGTGGGTGAGGGGAGGACACTATGGGCGGGCCCGTGGAAGAGGCCTGAGAGGCAAGCTTGTCAGAGGCAATGAGGGCCTGATCTCAAAGGATCTTCCTCAGTCGATTTTCCCAATTCTTGTGGGCCTGTTTGGTAAACATCTGACAATGGCCGCATTTGTCAGTTCGATGTCCTTCTCCAAGACAGAGAAGGCATAGCTCGTGTGGATCTGTAGGAGACATTTTGGTCCCACATTTCAAGCACTTTTGAAAAGCCGCATGCTGAGCCATCGAGAAGAAATGGATAGCGAACGGGAGAATAAGAGTCAAAGAAGATAATAAGAAAGAAGTATACCTATTTTTTTTTTGTGGGGGGGGGTGGGAGGAAGGGGAAAGAGAAAGAAGTGCTTCAACAGGGAAGGAAGGGATCTTTGAACTTGGAAAGGATTTCTAACAAGAAGAACAATAAGAATTAGCAACAAGAACAATGAGGAAAATGCAATAGAATAGGGAGTAATGAACGACTCGAGGCAAAGTGATTGGCAGTTGAAAGAAGACTGAGGAAAATGGCGGGCGCTCCGCCCTTTATAGTATAGTGGGGGAGGGGTGCAGAGTTCCCACTAAAATCCATTAAAGCTTTGAATTTTTCCTGGCTGCAGGCACTGCGCAGGTGCAGCACCCATAATGTGTGATGCACAGAGACCATGACGAAGAATCTAAGATTCTCCCATGGATTGTTGGCAGCCTATTAGAACCTGGCTTTGCTAAGAGGCATCAGAATATCAGGATGCTAAAGGGCCACAACTGAGAATGAATGAACAGTGTAGCTGTAAGAATTGGGTTCATGAATGAGGCAGTGCTGTCAAGACTCAAGAAGTCATAGAACAAGCTGAGTTGGCTATCAAGGAGATACAGGATGTAATAGGAGGGAGGATGGTATTTTAACAGTAATGGCCAGGTACCCCAATGTTGAAAGCAGTGGTTCCCAACCTTTTCTATGCCCTGCACTCCTATAAAATATTTGATTTATGTTTGCACTCCCTACAAAAGTAATAATGCATTTGAAGATGAAGAAGTGAAATCTCTAATTTTTGAACTACAAATTGAACTACATAGAGTACTGTGGATGAACAAACTGAACTCAGAAAATAAGCTTTTAACTCAGTGCATATAATTCAAATATAAATTAAGCAATTAAAAATTGTAAACAGTAACAGTAACAATCACAATTGTGAACATAAAATTCAATGACTATATCGTTCCTGCTCCTCATTCACAATTTTGTCAAAACATGGAACTGTCTTGCTAATTGTGATCTCCAAGTCTGCCTGTGGATTCAGGCAATTCCCAGATTTTATCTTGTTTGACAAAAGAGAACTGAATTCAAATGCAAGCAAAATAATAATAATTTTATTACTGGAGTAATTTTTGGCAAAAAATACAATTTGCCAATTTGGCAAATGGTGACACAACCTTCCTCTTTGTCACACTCCCTGAAATACCATCTTGCACCCACTGGGGATGTGGGCACTCCAGGTTGGGAACCCCTGGTCTAAAGTCTGCTCAATAGTCAATACAGTCACAGAACAGACATACAAACAAAGCCCCAAAGTGGCAACAATTTACACAGTGCTTTCCATGACTAGAACACACATGAATGAAAAAATGCACAATATCCACAAGTGATTGTTGAACAGAGTAGGAAATGAACAGTATACAATATATGATAAAGCTTATACATTAATACATACGTATATCATGACTGTTCCTGAGTTATTTAAGCCAAGGATTGTTTGGGCCAAGACACAGTGAGTGTACACACTACTTCCTGCATGTTAATTGCTGCTGCTTTCAATCATGTGACAAGTCATTGTTAATCACTAGCAGCACAATACTGTGCAAGTGTCCTCAGTGGTCCAATTACTTCCAAGTAGGTATATTTAGATTTGCAGCCTGAAATACATATTCTGACAAAATACTTATGTTTCTCCTGCACAGCAGTTTTCTAATATTTGTGGGAAATGCTAACTGTATGAATCAGGGTGCCTTCATGAGACACCAATTTTATGAGGAATATTTCGTACATTTGTCATTTGAATGAAAAACTTAACATAAGAATGTCAGTTCATTTAAAAATAGCTCTTCTGCTTTCAATTCCACAAGGAAAATGCTCAGAGTAATTTGCAAAAATGTCCTTGCTGTGGATAGTCTTCATTTAGATTATTCCAAACAGGGGGATATTAATAGTAACTTCAACCTTTCATACTAAGACTCCAGCTGAAATGGCACTTGCTCCATTATATGGGCTTATCTTTTTCAACCAGTAATAGTCTTTTTTGCTTCTAGGCTGCTGGATTATACAACATAGATGCAGTGCAAGCAATGGCCTTTGATGGCTGTTATCATGAACCAGACACAGACATGGACCTCCCCACTTTTCCAGTCCATTCAGAAGAGAGTTCGATGCGAGGGAGAGCGCCCAGCATCACAAAACTAGAAACAACTCGCATTAAGAGGAAGAGATCCCTACGAGGGAATGTGGGCCGGATTATTTTGCAGAACAATCATGTCATTGATACATATTCCAGGATTATATTTCCTACTGTATACATCGTGTTCAACTTGTTTTACTGGGGTTTGTATATATGAATGGACTATAACAGATATATATTTAATCTGAGGACACCAGAAGGGTATGCCTTGCTAAATCATGCATCAATCAGTTTATGAGATGATTCAGTCTGAAGAGATTCTAGTAACAATCAGATACTGTTTTTCTCCTGGTCTGTTATATATTTTTTCTCATGGACTGCTCAATGAGAAGAAAAACTCAGTTCTTCGGGGTTTCTTATGCTACCTATGTTTTTATTTCTAAATGATAGCAAGTGGTTTTAACTGATTTTCATGGCAATACTATGATGTGTCTACTTTGTTGCGCAATACATAGGATGGGCAGTTATGGGGCTTTCCATCATGCTTCTGAGTAGTTTACAGAACAAATTTAAAGCTACTAAGAGTGATTACATATTAACGTAAAGCATGCAGTAGCTTATCCTCTTCTGCTTGTTTCCTCCCTCTACCCGCATGAGTGACCCAGACAAATGTGACAAAATAAGCACCTTTTCCCCCTATCTCTCCAAATTATCCTTCACTTACCTTATTGAAGTTCCAGAGTATTTCATATATTTATGGGAAGACTTTGTCCTTGGATTATTGCCTAGGAAAGAATTCTGCTTGTCAAGTGGATTAAAGACTGTGATTTGAATGGAAGCTGACAAGGAGCCAGTCAGACATGATGCTGGAGTTCCTAGCCAGGATTAATGCTCTGTCTCCCCGCTGCCGTGCGATGGCCACAGTCCACATCATCATATTTCTGCATTTTATAGTTCTTAAGAGTGTGGGAGATTCCTCTGACCATAGATCTTCTATATCATATTTTGTTTGGCCCTGGCCTATGATATATCAGCAGAGACAGAAAAAAAGCATTCTATCACTCATCTGGAGATGTATATAAACAACACAGAGCAGTAGTTTTAAATTTAGGTTTTTGTTAACTGAGAGTCACAACAGGAAAGAAGCTCTGTTGAAAATAATGTCTGAAATAGTAAACAATATAAATAAATGCTAATCTGTCCTATAGGGCAAACACTGAATTAATGCAAACAAATTGCATTTAATGCTCTTTTTTTTGGGTGAGGGGATATTGGCAGCCAGTACAAATCACTTTATAGATAAATTCTATGCATATTTGCTAAAAACACACAAAAAGAGTCCTGTAGTTTTGGTGGAACATCATACTAGAAACGTTTGCGTAGGACTATACCCAAACTATGCAGCTATACTAACACAGCCACAAAAGGCTGTGAGTTGGAGCAGAGGAACACTTGTGAGATATGGAGGGGGGGGCACTCTTTTTCTTCTGTCTTTTTTCATTGCAGATCATCAGCCAACTATTTTTTCAGAGTGGAAAAATATTTCAGGAAATTACTTGTACATGTATGTCCGGTTTTCTAACCTGGAACACACTCCTATAAGGTAAATTGATAGGCTCCAAGAATAAGTTGCTACTTTATAAAGTGAACATAGAGGTTGCATACCAAGACTGGGAAACAGTCTTGAAGAGAAAGGGCATCAGTCAATAATGGCATGGAAAATATATTCCAGAGCATGTGAAGCCTGAAAGAGTTGAAGGAAGAGTTTTGCTTTTGTTCATTTAAAGAATTGTGCATCTCTGCCTTTGTTTCTATACTTCTTTAAATGCCATGCCAGGATTTTGATTGAACTTGCTTTTGGAACAAGTCCCAAATCCCATGCAAATTATTTTTAACATATATCCATCATTACAAAATTTCACCAAACTGTGACTATTCTTGCCATTACCACCATATTACAAACACTGGAGCATGTCCATTCATCATTCATTGTAATAGAATGACTCTAGAGAAAATGGTTTATCATTTGATGTTTTAGAATTTGTATATTTTGCAGTTTGATAAGCAAAATGTTAATATCTGTTGATAAACTATCAGAATTACATGCCAGCAGTAAATTAAAATGAAAGAGGTGTTTTTAAGAAGGCATTATTGGATATGTGTGTGTGTGTGTGTGTGTGTGTGTATTCTCTTTTATGATGGAAAGCAGGATTGGTTTTCCAGTTTAGAAAAGACTTGCTGGTTGAAAAGGTGTTGTTACACAGACCTCATGCAAGTGGCAGGAAGTTCCAAGACTGAATACACACCTAGTTTGATTTCCATTGAATGAAGGGATTATCTACTGTTTACATCATTTTAATTGTGAAGTTTATTTACAAATAAACTAAGCACAGGCACAACAGTGAAGTCTATTGTCCAGCACCTGATCTTCAGAAGGAGTCCCCAGAAGAGTTTTCCAGAGCTCAAAAGTACTTTCTACCCCTTTCTCTGTCCCACTCAGTTCCTGCAGCTTCTATGGCTTCTGTTGCACAAATTTTTACTACATTGCTCTTAGCTTGTAGATGTTGTTGTACTTTTGCCAAAATGGCTCTTCTCTAGCAGAGGAGCCTATATCTATTATACGGATTTCTTAAGAATTTCCTTGACAAAAGCCAGTGCAACTTTATCACGGGCTATCACAGATGTTTGAAGCTGTTCTTCTGGTTCAAAGCCCCAATCTCACTTAACAGCTTCCTTCATGCTAAAAAAAGAGAGACATCAGCATTCATTTGGTTTTGGTGTTTTCTCGATAGTTTTTGCACTTAAAGGTTGATTTATGTTTGGAAGTCCTGTGCAGATGTTTTGATCTGTATCTCACAAGGAGTCCAGAGTGCTCATCACTACAGCTATCTCAAAGATGGCCAGTATAACAAATCTAAACAAATCTTCATTAAAGCTCATCAAATTTCCATAATCTACACGTGTTGTGTAGGAAATCAATGTACCTAGATTTATAAAATGCACACAAAACTGTCAATGGTTCACATGTGTGTGTTTTAGGTTTCCTACGTTTAGTTTCTATTTTGCATTTATTTATATTCTCCCTCTGCTGTTACTCCTGCCCAACTCAAATTTTTATCTACAGCTCTAGTTTCAGCATAAGTAGAAGCAGGTAGATGTGCAGCAACATGTTCCTGGCCTAGCCCCAAAACAGTATCTCAGCAACAACGATGGGTCACCAGCAGTTCTTGCCAGAATGGACTTCCTCAACCAGGTTGCCTCTAGGCATGTTGGAATTCAAATCCTACAAAACCCCAGTGGGAAACGTAGCCCATCAAATCTGAGAGGTCCAGGTTGGGGAAGGCTGAATCAAAACCTAGTACGAACGAAAGAATCCAGGCCTTTTAATTCTCCACTGTTTTGCAGAGCTTGGTGGGTGGGGGTGCAGAGAGAAGAGGGTGGAAACTTCTCGGCTGAGCAGCAAGACAAGGCCTCTGATTGGAAGTGCTTCGTACTTTCAATTTCATCATTTCAAGCTGAATGAAGCTGAATGGAACCATTCCCACTTCCTTATCTTCAGGCTGGTTACCTGCCCTCCACCGCTGCTTTTGCAAAGCTCTTCCATTTAGGTAGCAATTCAGCTAGTGCAGCACTCTCCTCCCGCCCCGCGCAGCCTGGAGGGGACGAGACACGGCCAGAGCTTTCAGCGTGTGACATACACACGAGCCTGTGAGGCGCCGGTTCGTCATGTTTATGCTGGTTACCGGGAAAGCTCAAGCGCCTCCGAGCCCATTTGGTGGGCGGGCCAAAGGCACCTCGCTCAATAGGAAGACGAGGAGAAGTATCAGCGTCTCTTCCGCCCCGCCCCTCATAGGAAACGCGCCGAGCAAAGCTGCAGCCCACGTGTCATTCCCGGGGCCGAGGGAGCGCTGAAGCCTCGGCAGGTCGGTATAAAGCGCGTACGGAGAGCAAGGAGCGGTAGCAGGTGCTGTCTGTTCGGCCTTCCGGAAAGCAGCGGAGCCTCTTCGAGAATTCATGCTGTAGCAAACCCCCACCCCAAAAGGCCCCATGTCAGCATTTCCCGAGTCCGTGCCCTCAAAATACCTTAGTCTGCAGCTCCTAGGGAATTATGGAGTGGTGTAACACCGTGTATCCACCGGGGACTTTTCCGCGCCACCCCCGCCCCGCGGCCTTCTTTTGGAAACGCGCTCGCCCTTTTCTTTTCCTTCCTTCCTTCACGAAAAAGCGCTGCTAACCTCGCTTGCTCTTTGGGCTGGGCGGCTATCCGAGCAGCGCAACCTCAGAGCAACTTGGTCTCTTCAGACAGCCAGACCCGGCTGCTAATGCATCTCCAAGCCCTGCCCCTTGCAGCAGTCTCCTTCGTCCGTCTCTCGACGTGGTGCGAATCCAGGACGTTCCCCCAGAGTCTAGTCCTTGTTCAGGAAAAAGAACTAGGACTCGAACCTCCCACGCTGCCTGGTTCTCTGTCGGTTCCTTCTCGGCGCGTTTAAACTGCAGCCCTCCCCTTTTCCTAGGAAGAACCCGGGTTTTGTGGCGCCCTCTTCTTGTCGGTTTCTTGAAGTGGGTGTGAGTGGGCTTCCCGGATGTTACTCGTTTTGAGGGGTGGACCTTACGTTGCGGAGTCCGGGCTGAAGTTATGAATGCTTCCAGTAAGCGCGTGCATTCATGCTAAATGTTTGTACCCAAAGTGCTTTTGCTGCTCTTGCGGGGTCCGCATTGGCTTGCGGTGGGGGAGGGGGGTGAGCAGAAGGAGGCCCCTCTTCGGTTTGGGGACAGAAGACTTGCCTCTTCTTGCAGGCCATCTAGGTAGGAGGATCTGTGCTAAGGGAAGGAACTTGGTCTTGCAAGGCTGTTGTAAAGTTTCTCGAGACCATATGCATGAGGTGCATAGTTTGAAAAGTGAGCGTCTTGCTGTAACAAGTAGCTTGGAACTGAGCCCATCAAGGTTTTTCTAGGCCCCTTCAGTTCGTTCAGTTGATTATGATCAATGATTTGGATTTTCATGAAGATGGACATCTTTCTTACGAAAAGAAGGTGCAGGTTTTGGGTCTTCGCTCTGGAAAGCCCATGTCTCCTGCCATGTCTACCACCCTCCACTTAATACCTGTCTTGTCCCTAGCATTCCTTGCCCCCAGCCCCACCACAGCTGCCTGGGAAACACTGTTCCAACAACTGACCAGAAGACTTTCCCAGGCAGATGCCCACATGCGCTGCCTCTGTCCCTTGCTCTGGTACCTGTGCTGATGCCCCGTATGTGCCTGGCTGTTGGAGAAAGCCAAGGCCTGGCAGCATGTGCAAGTACTGCACATGGGGAATTTTGGACATATGTGCTGTGAGGGGGGGGATGTGTGCGCGCGCGTCTTGTGCACTTGTGCATTGGTGCAGAGCAAGGCCATAGCGTGGTGTGCTGTAGTGCTACTCTAGAGCAACAATGCTGCTCCACTAAATAAGCAGTTGCCTTGCTGAGCAGCAGGCAAAACAAAATGACAAAACAAAACAGGCAGCTGATTGAGGTCATACCCGGGGGAGTGTATGGGACAATGAGAGGCAGGAGTAGTCATGCTGGGATTGATTTTCAGCTGTGGGGGTTAATGGGATATGTGCCACCAGATGGGAGAAGGTGGAAATTGCTCATGCTTGGAAACCATGAGGACTCAAGGTAGGATACCATGTCAGGTGGTTACTGTGTGGTCTGTGTTAGTGTTATGTGTGAATGCGGTCGATGTGTATTGTTTGAAGGCTGAGCACTTCACTAGAGTTAAGTAGGTGCAAATCTCGTCAGTGTGTGGATGAGAGATCACCTGGAAATCTTCCATGTTGGAAGAGTGGCAAACTATACACACAAATGCTAAGCACGTCATGATTTTGGAAAAGGTCATTCCAAAACAGCCATTTTCCTCAGCACTGTATTGCTTGTTTTAAAGCACCCAGCTTCAGAAGTCTGTTGATATACCCAGCCTCCCAGTTACGAACATCTGAGTAAGAACAACTTATAAACAAGCAAACCCAAAAGTCCTGCCTTGTCCTCGAGCAACTGGGCACGCAGGGTCATTGGTTCGTGAGGAGTGGAAGGAAGGAAGGGGGGAAAGGGAAGGAGGAGGGAAAAAGTGGCAGTGGGGAAGTTGGAACTAGTTCCGCAGCTGTGGTGAGACTGCAGCATATCCAAGCCAGTGTGGTTTGGATCATGTGATGTTAGTGTTGCCTTCTGTAACTTTGTATTGTATTTGGTTTGTAAACTTGCCTCCAAAGTGCAAATCCAGTGCAAGCACAGGCGATGTATCAATGAAAAGATAACCAATCACAGTCCAAACTAAAGTGGAAAAAATAAAGTGATCCGAGAAAGATGAGACGCTATCGTCGTTTGGAAAGAATTAGGCTTTAGTCTTTCAAAAATCAGATTCTCTCCAGTACCTGTAATTACTTTATTATTACTGTATTGTCATTTTAAAGATGTTTTAGTGTACGTGGAAGTGTTTCTTAATTGTTTTATATGCTTTTTATATGATCTGACTTGCATACATATTTGACTTAAGGATGAACTCAGGAATGGAAGTTGTTCTTAACCTGGGGACCAGATCTACTTTTCTTAACCTTTTCAGTGTTTTAATTTGACTGCTCTCAAACTGTGATGAATGCATCCTTGGTCCTTCCCCCCTGAGACCATTGCATGTTTGCATCTGCCTTTTTTGTGAGCATTGTTTTTGCACAGTTCTTAAGTGGGTTTAAACAGGAAAGATGATGGTGGTACATGGTACAACATGGTACATGCTGTTAATTTCTTTGTTACTTACGCAGGACCATGCCCAAGAAAGGTGGGAGACTGGCTGGAACAGAAATGGCACACCATTTATCAAGTAAACAAGCAAAAATGGAAGCAGCCTGCCCTTCACTTTGGAAATGTGACAAACCTGAGAGCTTATTTGAATGTTTGATCTCTCCTATCAAACAGGATGAATTTTTCAGGGAATACTGGGAGCAGAAGCCACTGCTGCTTCAGAGAGATGACCCCTCTGTGGCAGTGTATCATCAATCTCTATTTCACTTAACTGATTTGAAGGACATAGTCAAACATGGGTTATATTATGGAAAAGACATTAATACTTGCAAATGCATCAATGGAGAAAAGAAGATTTTTAACAAGAATGGCAAAGTCAGCTATGTACAACTGATGAAAGACTTTGATCAGAAGAAAGCTACGATACAATTTCACCAACCCCAGAGATTTAAGGTAAGATTGAGCAGTTGTCTGGTATATGTGGTTGCTTTTGCATTTGTATAATCTTAGATTGACCCAGACGTACAATTAACAAGGATTTAGAGAGCGGACCATGGAATTATGTCTACTTGTCCTTTTCCTGGGTTTAGTGCTGCATACAGCTGTTGCAAACCTGGACTGAAAAGTGTTCAGGAGTGCTTTTAAAATGACTTGAAAACCACAGATCACTCAGTTTTTAAATTATGTTGTATGTCAGTGCTACTTGGTACAGTTATTTCTGTACTGATTACATGGGAATTAGAACATTGAATTTAACTGCTATGACTGGGATAGTAATGTAGTTTTTCTGGGAAATTTTGAGTTGGAAAATTTTTTTACATAACTTTGATCAGGATAGTTTACATTAGAAAAGTTAAAGTTTGTACTGTAAAAATTTCTGGTGCCCTAGAACAGAAGAAGGCAAAAGTGGGAGGGCCGAGTTCATTTTGGCAGACATCAAGAAAGGTCCATTGGTGCCCATGGATGCCACATTGACTACCCTTTCCCTTGAGAATGATCAAATTTGTTATGTTTATTTTACTTGTACAGCGAAACTACAGAAAGTACTCCATGTTGTTTTGTTCCAGTACACCACAAGCATTTGACCGGATATATTTAAGAGGAAAAAACTGAAATGTACTCAATGTGACTTTAATGTTTTAATATGTAGAAATTTTCTTAGAAGCGTAAAGACAATAGTGAATATTTCCCTTATGATGTTTAAATTTAAAGGAAAAAGCTATGGAAAGCTGTTGACACACCTAATGCTTTTTAGCATGGCAAAAAAGTTTGCATGGTATGTTGACAACCACTCATTTACAACTTTGAAACTGCCAGACTTGTATAATACTGTAATTGACATCCAATCCATGTTCATTTTTGTTTATTATATTTATATTCCATCTTTTTCCTTTCTTTTTTTAAATAAGTTTTATTTGAGAAATTATAATCCTAAAAAACAAAAAGAAAACTACCAACAACATCCATCATCAAAAACATCGAGCCCGCTGGATCAGCCCCCACACCCTTCTTTTTCCATTTATGATAACTTATGTGACGTCCCGTTTCTCTAGCCAATAATAAAAAGGTTCCCAAGTTTGATAGAAATACCATCTTTTTCCTTTCAAAGAACTCAAGGCATATTACACAGTTTTCCTCCTCCTCCTCCTCCCAATCTTTTCTCAACAACAACCCTGTGAGGTAGGTTGGGCTGAGAGTCTGTGACTGGCCCAAAGTCACCCAGTTGGCTCCATGGCTGAGTGGAGACTAGAACCCAAATTGGCTAAGTCCCAGTTCTGTACTCTTAACCACTGTACCACACTGGCTGTCTAATTATAATAATTATTATAATGAGCTTTTGAAATTAGTAGTGATCCTCTTCTGTATGAATCGGTTGTTTCCAGGAGAATTCACCTACCTGGGATATATGATTACAGTTCAAAAGGGGAACCTACAATACAGCACTGTAGTGCGGAGGGTCCATGTCCAGTCATCCATGCTTTCTTCCAGGAAGCTGTGATAACTTTAAACAAAATCACTGTAGTAACTACTGTATCCGCAGGCTGTCTCTGCCTGATACCGAGTGATCTATCCCTTATCCTCTGTAGCCACATTCTGCCCCTCTCTCAGATCTCAGGAGAGGCTCAGCGGACTGTTGTGGGAAGGAGGGGCTGGAAAAACCTTATTGAGTGGGCATGCTCAGTAAAAATAACTTGATCAGAAGAGAAAACAAAGTGGACCCATAACTAGCTGAATATGATATTCTAGGAAGACAAAAGTCGTAGGGAACCTTTTCTCTGCTGAGGGCAGCTTGCAGATAATGGATGGTCTGTTTGTCTCCAATTCTGTGCCAGACCTCCTGTTTTACATTTTTGTCAACTTTCCCCCTGCTCTGGTTATTTCCTTTTCTCCCTGCTCAGCATGCTGCTGGGAGAGGGACAGATCACTTTTGCCAGAGTTGTAGAAGGCTTTCTCTACTTCCTTTTGTCATTCTGCCTGTTTTGGCTCCCCCCCACACCTCATTTTCCCTCCTCCTTACCAGAAGTCTGCATCATCTTGTTGATGGGGGCTTGCCCCTTCCATTGATCTGGCTGTTTCAGCTTTGTGTCTCCCTATTTTTTCCTTCTTTTTTCTTTACTTGTGGCTCCTTCCAGGTGCAGATCACACATCTTTATGGTAGATCTGGCTTTATGTTGTTGCTTGAAATGGCAAAAGGAAGATATATTGGCAGTCATCTTGAAATAATTGACCTGCAGTGGTAGCAAGAAGGAAACCCCTCTTGCATTTGATTTCTGTTGCCTTCTGGTCTGACTTATGGGCATGCCTTTTGAAAATGTAGCAGCTGTATGTATTAATATGGCAGCAAGCACCTTTCCCTTGATGCCTGTTGCACCTTTTGCAGTTTGACTCTTTTTATGCAGGTTGTTTGGATTTCTGAGTGATGTATGTATTTGGAATGCAAGTACGAAAAGTAAAGTGGCTGGGAGGAGAAAGGGCAATTGTCTTAGAATTGCTAACATTTTCTTTCTTTTTTTTTAAAGGATGAGCTCTGGAGAATCCAGGAAAAGTTGGAATGTTACTTTGGCTCATTGGTTGGGTCAAATATTTACATTACCCCTCCAGGTTCTCAAGGTCTGCCTCCACACTATGATGATGTTGAGGTAAGCGGGACCATAACTGCTCCTGGTCACAGGCATTTTCAAGGGGAGAAAAAAGTGACTTTGTGTCTGTCCACATAATGGATGGGTTGTGGATGTATGCAGGTGAATTTTGTTTTGAAATACAGCCCAGTACTTCAGATGTTACAAAGCTATGTCCATTACAAGAATAAATTAACATGTTCGCACCAGATATTTGTTCCTTGGTGGGCTTAGATAAAAGTCTGAGGAGCTATGCTGCATTTTTATAATTAATTGATTTGCGGTCCTTGCAGGTGTTTATCTTGCAGCTTGAAGGAGAGAAGCACTGGCGGCTGTACCAGCCCACTGTACATCTAGCTCAGGAATACAATGCTGAACCTGAGGAGAAAATTGGGACTCCAACACATGACTTCTTATTAAAGGTAGTTGTGCTGGGTGTATGTCTTTGCAGTCCAGAGTGCCTACACTAGAGGGAGACAAAGGTTTTATAGACTTTGGGATTGTAACTTCACTGCTTGTGGAAAAACTTGCTGTCCCCTCTAGAAGTTAAAAAGAGGGAATGCACATTGCTTAGCAAATTTTATTTCATCTTTTTTCACTCAATTTTTCCACATTCCTACAGACCTTTTCTGTATTAGGAGTATGAGAGGGGAATGGATGACATTTCTACCGTTGCTGCTTAATGCTGTGCTGCTATGTAGTTTTTATCTGCTGCTTTGGCTTTTTAAATTGCTACTGTATTCCAGTTATGAATGACTTAGTAAGCTGCTTTGAATCGTTTTGCTTTTGGATGGTAGAAGTAGAGAGGTGGCATATAAATTAGATGAGTTGGAAGAGTTTGGATTGCAGTGCTTCTGTTATAGTACAACTCCTCATTAAGTTGGTACATTCTCAGTATTTTTTTCCTTTATTTTTCAAGGATGACAGCATGTGTCCGTCACTTTTAATGTTCTTGCTTTCATTTCCTTCCAGCCAGGAGACTTGTTATATTTTCCAAGAGGTACCATTCATCAAGCTGATACCCCACCTGGGGTATCTCACTCAACCCATGTGACAATTAGTACCTATCAGAACAAGTAAGTGTGTACTGTGTGTAGTTGCATTGCCAGTGATTTTGAACTGAATGAATCTGCAAGCTAAAATGTTCTGCTTTGACTGAAATGGTGTAAAGTAATAGCCTAGATCAGGAATGGGCACCTTAAGGTTCCAAAGATGTTTTGACCTACAACTCCCATTTTCCTTGATCATTGGCTATGCTAGTTAAGGTTGTTGGTGAGTTATAGATCAAAGCATTTGACCAAAGTTGTCCAACCCTGGCTTAGATGAATTGGAAAAGAACAGCTCGCTTATTATACTTTAGGCCTTCATAGAGTAATTGTTAGTCCCCTGGTGCAGATTTGCAGCCTTGATGTTATTTGGCTTCGCCTCGCTTTTTCATGAATGGGTTGCTGTGGTATGTAGAGGGGTTTTTTTTTTTTATCAAATGTCTGCTGGGTAGGCTGCTTTCCATCTTGGAGAACCAGAACCTTGTCATGTTGATCCAGACTTGAGTAATGAGTGTGCTGTATGTGAGCCTGGCCTTGAAGATGACTTTGAAGCTGCAGTTAGTACAAGATACTACAGCCTGATCCTTGTTAAATGTCAGGCGATGGAAACATGTAACGTTTATTTTGCCAGCTCTAGTGATGTCTGCAACATGAAAATTTGTTGCTAGGAGGACCTTTCGTAGCCATAGCCCTGAAATAATTTTATGATCTCCTGTTACACTTTGGGAATAGTTCATACTTTTGTTTAAGAAAGGTAATTAAAACTGGCTTTTTTGGTTTTGTTCTTAGATTTATCTTAGTGTGTTAGCTTTGTAATTTTAAGATGCTCCCCCTTTTTTTGGTTTTGGTTTCTTGATTGCCCCTTTTTGCCAGTTATTAATGAAGTTCTGGGCATAAATATGTTTTCAGATGTTCCTCTGCAACATCAGGTTGTTTATAGTGATCCCCTAAGTCAAAAGTACATATATCAGGGCAGGCAATATTTGGGGTCTGGTTGGCATGTTTGGGAATTTGAAAAATTGCCCAAGGAGCCCCCACAAAATTAATACTGGATATGAGGGTACTCACAAAGGCAAGTAAGCGGCTCAAAAGACTAAACACAAGGCAGGGGTGGGGTTTGAGCCCCACCACACTTAAAAAATAAATAAAATCCCTTCAACACCCAGTTTGAGCACCAACAGAAGCCTATTTCACAGAAGGCAAACTCCCCACCCCAACACATTTTCCCCTTTCTCCCTTTCTCTCACACTCTGGGCACACAGGTCTCCCATAGAAATGGGGTCTCTGTCTCTCTCTGTAGGACTCAGACACACATGCATGCATTCTCATGAGCACGCAAGGTTCACCCCCCGCCCTCGCTCCCTCCCCCACACACACACCACCTATGCAGTATAATCTGCATACTCACTTTGCTTTGAAGCAATCCCAGCTGCGATTAAGACAATGCATTTATTGATCTTTTAAGAGTAGAAAGGGTAGGATATCTTGGCAGGCACCAAGAAATAATTCAGAGGGCACACTTGTACCCCCAGTGACCCATTGCCTACTCCAGACATATCCATGTATATTTGTCCTATTTAAAAACTTTCTTAGTTTAAATTCATCTGGATTTGACTGGTAGAAAGAATGGTGCAGCAGGTGGGTGTTTCACTTGACTCTCAAAGACAGTTTTTACAAAGATGCTCTGGATTGACTTGTTTGCTGGTCATTAATGGTTTTGTTTTGTCCTCTGCATGGCAGCTCTTGGAGAGATTTCTTATTGGATGTGGTTCCTGAACTTATTTTGGATACAGCAAAAGAAGATATTGAATTTCGGAAGAGCATTCCGAGGCAGTTACTGATGGTAAAGATACAAGCCTAAGGAAGCAGCAGTGCCTGGATGGTCCCTTGATCTCCACTAGGAGCTCTATTATATAATGTGCTTTATTGGGGTGGGGAGCGGGGAGACACAACAGTCTCATGTTTTAGTAGCAAATCTTAAAACTGTGTAGTTCCTTTTCACTGCTTTGTTATGAGTGAAGCCCATATGTGCTAAATCTTGATGTTCTTCCACATTTATTCAGTCATTTTACTTCATTTTTGTGACAAGGCCATAAAACAAGAACTATTTGAAAAGAAGCCAAAACCAGTCCTGAGAGAAAGTATAATATTCCTTTTGTTTTGAAATAATCAAAGTTTCTATGAATTGTAATCCCTTTAAGAAAGGTCCATGCAGAATTTTATTAGAGCACTGATTTTGTAGATGTCAGGTTACACTTTTATTACTGTGAGGGTGGAAAATGTTGAAGACTTATTAATAAGGAAGCATGTGTGAAAATGAAACCCAATGAATGCATTCCAATAGTGTGATTTCACAGTGTGGCACTTGGATTTATTCAGCTTGGTCCCCTGTGCCTTCCTGAAACTGTGTAAACAGGAAGGAGAGTTCATACGAATTCCGGCTCATTCCAGATATAAGCACCTGTTCAATTCTGTCTCAGCACGGTAGCTGAGATAGTATCTAAAATGCCTGGACAGTTTGGGGCCACTTTTTCAATCAAATCTAGACCTTGTTTCCAAATGCTAATTATATGTTCTTGTTTTTTTTGTTTAGAAGGTGGACTTCTCTGACTCATCCAGGCAATTAAGTGGCTTCCTGAGATGCCTGGCTGACCGTCTGGAAAATGGCAGAGAACTGAGGTCATCTGAAATGAAAAAAGATTTTATTATGAACAGATTACCTCCTTTCTTGGGGACTAGCTTTGACCCACTGGCTCCAGGTGACACTAAGTTTACTGTGGGCTTTTCATAAAGAGAGGGGAAACAACTTGTACCATTGATGAAGCAACAGAATTGTTCATTCATAGAGTAGCTTATGATAGCTGAGTTAATACGTTGACTGGTTTTGAAGGACCAAGACAGACACTGAGTTTCTACAAATTCGCCTTTTTCCTTCTTTTCATAGTTCAATTAACAACTGAAGGGGAAGCCATGTATTGATCACAGCAGCTACTTCCATAATTAAAATCTGATCTGCTCTGAGTCTGTACTTGAGACATTAATATTGCTTATACAAGTAGACCACTTGAGTAAGCAGTTATTTATAGGAATTAGCTGTAGCAGTATCTACATCAGGTCATAGTTGAGAGGGAAAAGCAGCAAAGTAATGTCACTGTTCTTCCTTGTTTAGTTGGAGCACTACCAAAAGTAGGTAGCACAATCAGGTTACGGTTTAAAGACTACACAGTAATTACAGTGGAGCCAGAGCAAGACTTTTTGGTGAGTACAGAGGAAGTGCTTGTAGAGACTTGCTTTGCATTGAGGCTTTCTGTGTTCTGACATTGGCTGTATGCTATTTTTAGACTGCTCACTTGCATCCCACAGCACATGATTGAAATTTGTCATTATAGTGATACTGTTTCTTTTTCCTTAAAGGGATAGCCTTAATTTGCAGGAATTAATAACCTGTACTTGATAATTCCCTCCCTCCCTCCCTGTGTGCGTGTAAAACTATACTTTGGAATTTCATGAAGTAACTTTAATTAGAAAAACTTGCTGAACATAATAATAAAAAGCAAGGCTTCTTACTAAGAAGATGGGAGATGCTTTCGCAGTATTTGCTTGATAATGCACACATGTGGTGTTCTTGTTTTCCAGAATGATTCGCTTAAAAAAATGGTTTTTGTGTATCACTCTTTAAAGAACAAGAGACAAACCCATATGATGGGGGATCTGAATATGAATGAGGAAGAAATGGCAGAGGTTAGTCTTATTTTAATTCTGCTAATCCTTACTTTCAGATCTTGGTTATTATTTTTTTACCCTATGCAGGTTTTTTTTGTTTTTGCCACCTACCTTTGTCTGTCTGCAAGACCGCCTGTGGTACTGAGAAACAGACTGTCAGAGAGCTTTGACTATTGATTGGTATAAAAAAATATTACTAATACCATCATTGTTGATGCTGTTTATTAATCCAAGAATCCTTCTGTGCTGTTGAACCTCCTGCTCACCTGAGATGCCATTCCAGTTTTCCTGATAGTCTCCCCAGCTCCCTTTATGGAACAATTCTTCATTCAAAGCTTAGATTGAATAACTTTAGCAGTAGCCTCACTAGTAGTATTGGGGAGAGATATTTTACTTATTGATTTATTACATTTATACACTGTCCCATAGCCCTATAGTATAAAATACTATGAAAAACTAAAACAATATAACAACCAAGCCATAGGACAGTGACCAGGCACAGCAGCAATTTATAAATCGTATTTAAAACTGTTTCAGCAATAAAAAATGTGGAGACTTAACTTTTATTCTCTAAATATTGCAATAAGGTTTTCACTTGGTGCTGAAAAGATGCCAGGGATGGCACCAAGCACACTTCTTTGGAGTACAGGACCAGAGATGGGGTTCCACTGCTGAAAAGCCCCTTCTCCTGGTTGCCACCTCCCTTTTTTGTAGGGAGGCTCCCTGAGAAAGTGCTTGAGAGACAATCTTAAGGGTCAGGTGAATTTAATATAGTGAATTTAGTTTACTATACACGTGGGACAAGAATTTTAGATTTTGATTTGTTTCCTACCATTTTACTTAGGATAAGCTGTTTGCTGTGTTACTGCAAAACCTAAAGGCATTTTCTCTGCAGACTTGGTTAATGATAGGTAGACACGATTGTGTTGATTACTGCAGCACAGTGAGCCTTGATTTTAGAGTTCCACCAGGACTTGCTAATCCTGAATTCAATTTCTTGCCCAACCATAGGTAGTTTTGAGACAGACACCCTCTTATAGTTTTAATGGAAAACCTTATATGCTATCACATGGTTCTTGGTGGTTTAGGTGGCAATAAAATGTAAGAAATAGAAACATAAGAAAATTGCTTCTTAATTAATATACTTGTGCCTCTTTTTAAAAACTGAAGTCTTTCTTCTACTGGCTTAAAGGCACAACCCTATGCTGTGATGCTGGGAACTGTACTCCCCCACTACAATTCTCAGCATCAACCAGCCAGTGTAGGCACATGCCTTATGCTGTGGGCTGTGTATTGTGCAGTTACTTTGAACATAGAGGCATTGTCTGTCATTACTTCTAGAGTTGAGGTAAAGGGAATCATAACAAAAGCACCATAGTTGAATTGTAAAAATAGCTTCATGTTCTTTGCAGGTATAGCTTTGCTTTCTGCTTTTTGGGGGTTGACAGTAGTCCTAAGGTTCCACTATTAATATTTGGAGTTGCAGAGATTTTGCTTGTAGTGGCATTCAAGCATTTGTGGAAAGACACTCCATGGGGGAGTAGGTGGGGGGGAGGAGTTGCACAGGAGCAGATGTAGAGCCAGGTGATCCTGAGTATGCCCTCCAAGCATCAGATGATTGGAGCAGCACTAGAGCTGATAGAGATTCCTTTCTTCCCACTGAGAGGGAGGGAAATTGTAGATGGAAAAGCATGGGAGGAAAGAAAATCAGTATGGCAAATACCAATGTTTCATTTCTACCATGCATGAGACAGGGCTTTGGATGAGGCAGTCACTCTGTTCCACACATGGCAAGATAGCACTGTAACACAATCCTATACACGTCTATTTAGGAGGAGATTCCATTGACTTCAATTAGTATAAGTCGATCTTAATGCGTAAGTGAGACACTTACTAAAATCATACAGATTATGCTTACTGGTCTGTATGAACAGGTTTAGGAATTCCTGTAGGTTGTCTCATTTTCTCAAAGAGCGCAGGCAGGTATTTGGAGCGAGTGATACAATGGTTGGTTTCTGGGTTCAGTGGTTAGAGGGTTCCTGGCCTATAAAATATTCTTAGAACTTATATAAAAAGTGCCACTGTTTTCAGCTATCACAAGCTGAAATACACAAGCAGGTCATTTTCTTGCATGGTGCTGATAGGAGTTGTGGAAGTAACATGCCTGGATTCTTTGTCCTGTGCTTTTTGTCAGGCTGCCTTCCCCACATCAGGATGGCACATGGCAGTCGCTTGATGACAAGAGTATTCCTACCCTCCATCACCTACTGCTGTTAAAATTACGCTGTAGCAGGGACCTGGGCTTGACTAGAAAAAAACCATATGCTAACAGTTGTGTATAAGCATATGTTGCAAGTTGTTTATGCAGACATAAAACCCATCTGCTTAAGAGCTGTTGTTAGTGGGCTGTGGAATATATTACCATCATAAAGTGCTTTGTAAGAGGTGTCTAATTTAGTTCAATCTGGCCCTAATATGCTTTTCTCTTCTCTTCTCTTCTCTTCTCTTCTCTTCTCTTCTCTTCTCTTCTCTTTTCTCTCTCTCTCTCTCTCTCTCTCTCTCTCTCTCTCTCTCTCTCTCTCTCTTTCTTTCTTTCTTTCTTTCTTAGACTCATGGGTTACGATTTCCTCTCTCCCATATGGATGCGCTGAAGCAAATTTGGAGCTCTGATACTATCAGCGTTGAGGCACTGAATCTTTCTTCAGAAGCAGAAAAAGAGAACTTGGTAGTATCACTGTGGAGTGAATGCCTCATTGAAGTAATCTAATGGCATGAGCCAGCCAAAATTAGCAGTTTTACACATGTCCTGGATTTTAGAGGAAGATTCACGCATGCATATAGATCTCAGCACCGAGATACATTGAGGATGTATAGCTTCTGAAGCAGATTGTGATGTGTCTGCTATTACTGATGACAACCCCTATATACTTAAGAAGGCTTGCTCTTGCTCTAAAAGTGGTATCATAAATTTCTGTGGCCCATGAAGCCAAAAGGATTTATTTTATTAGAATTGATTTTAGTTATCAAGTGTCATTCCATGGAACAGAAATAACTGACCTACAGTATACCACCACCAGTGGTATCTTGCTATGGACATAAATGGGGTGCATTCTCTTTCTAGGAATGTGTAGAGCTATAACCACAAGTTAGGCTCAAAGTTTTCCTGTATTTTTAGGCTTTTTTATTTGATTATCTTGAAAATTATTTTACGTAAGATTTGTAAAACCACATTCTAGCAATAAAAGGTTAGATGCAGAGCTTAGAGTACACTATCATGGTCTATTTAATAAGCTGAACATTAATTGGTTGGGTGCGTTCATTGGTCATATAGCTTCCCACTATCTGCTAAGTGATACAAAAGTAATTTGGAGTTACTACTCAAAGCATATTGAAAGATAAATCAGACTTAATGCATCAAATATATGATAAACAAATTGAACATAAAGCAAATGTTGTTGGATATAGGCCCCATTCTTTCCTGTCATTTAGGTGTATAGCATAGAGGGAGAGAATGAAAGGTAGTCCTCTTTTGCCTTCTAATAATTTGTGCTCCTTTCCAGAGAACAACTCAAATAGCCTGATCTGCAACTGTTTCATGCATTTCTAGCTTCATGGGAAGGCTCTCCCACATATCAAATGTGTGTGGGGATAGAAATGTGTTTGATAGTGGCTTTCTTTTTAAGGACTTGTTTATACAGTGCACTCTAGTCCTGGAATTTGGTATCTTATTTTGGACTATTTTTCAGTTGCACATCACCTAACCACAGTTGCCACCTTCTTCAACTTTGTAGATCACATTTGGCATTTTTTAATACTTAGTAAACACCACGAGTAAAACAAATACAGATAGTGTTTTAATTCACAAAGTAGTGTCAGAGTGGCACAGAGTAGTGTCATCTATTTATATATAAATTCACTTTTAGTAAAATGCAATTCTGAGCTTTAGGAGTTATTCTTTTTTAAACCCTCTTTCAATGTATTAACTTAAATACTGCATTTTGCAACAATATAAAACGATACAGATAAAAGCCTCTTTCCTGCAGCATTGTAATATAATGGAGGCACTCTGATTCTAACTGCAAAGTTTTATTAAATATTAGGACAAGTCAGTCTCATTTTGGATACAGGACTTTTATGTGGACACCTCCCCACAAATTCATTACAGTGATGTTTTGGTTCCTGATGTTCCTTCTGCCCAGAAGTTACTGCTGCTTCAAAACCTCAGTAAGTGATACTTTTCCCCATTACAAGCAATTTTCTCCCCCAGTGCGTAAGTAAAGAATGGGGCAAACTGGGTTCTGAGTCTGAAAATCTTTCTCATGTGGCAAATATACTGGTGTAAAGACTAAATACTGTCCTGAAAGTCTGTTGTACCTACAGTGGAATTCAGTGCATGTTTTTCTGCGAAGTAAAACCCACTGTATAATTTGGCTTCCTACACACTAAGTGCAAGGACTGTAGCCTTGTGCTGCAATCTTAGTCATGTCTAATCAGATACCAGTCATACTGCTTCAATGGTGTTGGCTTTCTTGTGAGTTAGTATAAGGTTTCAGCCTCTGAGTGCAAACTTATGTCTCTCCAGACAGGAAAATGTCTTCCAACATGTAGCACTGCTGGCTGGGAAATGTTGCAGGGTCTTTTTTCTGTTCAAATATGCATAAGATTGCAACTTAGATACATAACACTATACCAGAGACAATCAGCTTGAGAAGATTTTTACATAGTTTTTAAAAAGGTGTATTAAATTTATTTAAGAGTTGTTCGATGGAGTAACATACAGAAAATTAAATACTGCTAAAATACATTTATATATCTTAGATACATAAAAATAATGCAAAGAAATACCTGATTTATTTTACAATCTAAAGTGCTATTATAGGATGAAATCCTCCACCAGTGCTGCAGCTCACACGGCCCCCTCAGCGCTAACACATCTAGACTTGCTTTAGGATGTGGAGGAGGAGGCATGGCCCTCCACATGTTGAACTGCAACCCCTACCAGCTGTAGCCAATGAGTTGTAGTCCAAAACATCTGTAGTGGTCCATGTTCCTCATCCCTGCTTTGGGATATGAAAATGCAATTTAGATAGAGGGAGCAGTTAATGCAACAGCTTGTGGGTCAGAGTGGTCTGTCTCAAGTCAGCGACCTTTGCAACTGCCCCAACAAAGGAAAGTAGTCGCTTAGCCTGCGGAGCTCCATATCTTCAGAAGCCATCCATGTGTCTGTCTGGGGCTTGTTGTTTTATGGTTGCTGGCACAATGTAGCTGAATTGTAGTTTAACCCCTCAGGTAGATTTTCTTAATATATTAATAATGCCATATCTTCATAAAAATAAAGCTTTTATATTTGAGTCTTCCTGGTGCTAAACTATGCAGCTGTGGAAAAAAACGAGTAATTGTGCACCTTTTAGCTTTAGTGAATTTTAAAATTTCTTTTTGAAAAAATACACTAAGATATACCAAAACCACATACTTTTTAATAATACTGAACCCAAGTTGCAGCTTAAAGCAAAGCATGATCTAACTTCTGTGTGCTGTTTCCAATCTGACTAGAGAACTGCATCAAGCAAACAGGTCCTGAGCATGCAGTTCTTTCCAGTGCAGAAGCTGATGTGGCATAAATAAAGCCCTTTTATACACAATCTAACTCGCAAAGTCTCTTGCCCTGCCAAAGAAGCTATTCAGAATAATTTTGATTTAAAAACACAAATCAGGCAAGCAAGCATGGCTGCTTCATGTATGGCTAGTTCCAAACCTTTAGTAGTACACTGAACTAATGCTTTCAGCGACTTTCTTCTGAGTTGTGTAAAAGTTGATGGCAAGACGGAACACAGAAGAGTTTGTGTGAGGGTGTGAAGGCCTATCTGCTGCTGTAAATCACCAAGAGAGCTTTGACTATTGGGGCGTATGGAGGAGGAGGAGCTGACAATTTCACTTCTACTAGTGTCCAGTCTTTTCATTAGAAGGGATGGGCAGCTGTTACATATTCTTTTGAAATGTAAAGACTATTTTTAACTGCATTGGTTAGAGCTATACAGTTAGTTTTAATATTGCTTTCTAGGAAGCCAGAGAACAATTAGGTTAGACAGTTGTGTATTTCACAATGCTTTGTCTCTAGCAGAGGAACTATATGATGAGGTGTGTGGATATGGTAAGGTTTTTTTTTTTTTAAACCAATTTTGGTGTCCTGACTTGGTGAGGAACATTTGTTAAATACATGGTACAATCCAGTCAGAAGTAATCACTACTTTGAAAGCTCATGGAGTTTAATAGTGCTTACTCTCAGGTAAGTGGGTATAGGATTAGAGTCTTAGGGAGATAAGCAATACTTGTATCTATATCTTTGGTCAGATTGTAGCTGCAGCAAATAGACTTCATCTCCTGGTTATAGAGGGAACCAGTGCAAACATTAGTAAGTTAGATATACCCAAATGACAGTAGTGGTTATCGTATGAGACAGACTAAGGGCCAAAATACATGGGAGATCATATCCCCAAACAAAATTTTCACCAAGAAGTAACTGCTGCAGTCCTCTGAATTGGCTAAGAACACCATGGGGATCTGGTTTTTAATCCCTTCCCCTCACAGAGTTTTCTTGATTTATATCAATTTGGTGAAGCAAATGGTGTTACATAGGTGAATACCACTTAAAATAAGTAAATAAATAAAATTTATTTTAAGATATTTGTATGCCGTCCTTTGCAAGAGCCTCAGGATGGCTTACATAAATAAATGGTGGTAGATCTAATCATAAATTTGCCCAAAATAACTGGTTGGGGTCTTGCTTGCTGTGTTTGCAGCATTAAAACAAGCTTACAACACACTGGTAATTTGAATTGGGTACATTGTATTGCAGACCTCTAAAGCAAATATGATCTCAGTTTGTGAAATGATCTGATAGATCTGCTTGTTTCATATATACAAAATTCTTTAGATCATTTCTTTTAATCAGCAGAAAGTAGCTCTGTAAAAGATTCTAGCTGGGGATATGTTCTCTTATCAAACTGCATTTTCAGCTTTAGCAAATAGTTGAAACTACTCACTAGAAGTTTTACATCTGTTCTCCTGTAGTATTTTATGACTAAAATGGAGAATTAGCAGTCAGTTTAACACACAATGATTTGCCCTTTTAGTTATAATTTTCATAACAGGTTTATCTCCATTCTGAGGTTTTTTTTAGATAAATACAGTCAACACAACATATAATTATGAAATTCATTTAAGGAAAAAAACATGTCTAAAAATGTGATACTTATATCAAAGTAATGCAGTAATCAAAATGCTTCTGCTTAACAGCTTAAAAATTGTAGAAGATGATGGAGACATTTCAGCTTTTTGCAAGTTGCCCTCATTAGCTCTAATAGAGTAAGGTGAAGGGTTAAAAGAATTAGAATGTTTACAGGAACACAAAATAAGTACAGAACGTCTGCATAGTCAGCACTGTAACATCTGGTATTGTGTGTACACTTTCTTTAATAGAAACTGGACAATATACTTAGATTTCAGCAGCCTATTTAGGGTACAGTCCTATGTATGTTTAGACAGAAAACATCCTACAACTCCCAGTATTTTCCAGCCATACATGTCTGATTACGCATTGGATTGTACTCTTCAATTTCCTGCTGGCAGAATTGGGTGGATTTTATACTTGTACCAGAGCTCTGTGGCTTCAGTAGTTTGTTGCCAGCTTTTCTGGCCCATGTTGGTCCAAGCTTCTAAATCTATCTGTAGTGGTGACACACACTCACAGTATTTCAAAATCCCATTTCTGAGTGCATTCACTTGTGTCAAGTAGGTTTACAATGATGTGATTCCTGTCATAATAATGTCCTCCTAAAACAGAAGTGTGAGATAGATTAGTGTAGTCTCCTTTTAAGTTATTACTATCCTTTTATGTGCTAGACATTTAAAATGCCATACCTTAAACAGTTCCAAAAGTACTTTTGTAAGATCCTCTGTGTAAGTACATTAAAATCAAGCAGGTGACATAGATGAGATCCAGAACCAAGTGGCTTTACAAAATGTATTTTAGGTATAGGAAGGTAATCAGCATGTAATGGTCAGGTAAGCTAGGGAAGAATGTCATGGTTCAAGGGTACAATCCTATCTAGACAGGAAAAATCCTGCAACTCCTAACATTCCTCTAACTAGCCATTCTGGTACATTTTGATCTTAAACATGCAGATGATTGCACCTCAAGTGTCCTTTCTCATCTTTGCTTCCCCCCCCCCCCCTTTGCTTGTTGGGTAGAGCAGTCCTAGGGCCATTATAAAACATTCCCAGCTATGAATTTGGAAATTTGCTCCTATCTTCTTTCTCTAAAGCTTCCTTTATGGAAAGGGTTTTGGGATGGATGGTTGTCATGAAGTTGCAGGTATGTGTGGATGTCTCAGGACTCCATAGAAGTCCAAACCCTACTAATTGTCAATATTTTGGTTCCAATTTGTTGTGAGCACATTAGTTTAGGAAAACAGATACAAAAATATTCATATGGGACTGACTTTCTCTGAAGGACAGTATTCCCGGTGTAGCAAAAACCACTATGTGGGAACAATAATTTTCCAATCTTCTTCCAAAGTAGAAGGTATTATAATGAAGTAAAGAAACCATTGCATATAAACACATGGATTTCTCATTCAATTTAAACTGTGTATGTATAGCAACTGTACTTGCTACACACAGAGCGATTTAGTATTTTATTGGCTACCCTTGCAATTGGCAAGCCAAGGGCCAATATTTGAATACCAAGTCAGCAACTAGTCCTACTGCCCTTGTATTTTTCATATATATGTACATATCCTAAATTATTCTAGGCAAGTTTAACCTGATTAGTTTAAGAGCTATAAAAAGGGGGTGAGACACAACTATGTAAAGTCATACTTTTGTACCAACTTAACAGGGTATATAAATAATAACCTAAACTAACTAAATGTATGTCAGTACCTTTGATATCAAGAACAAGTTGATCATGGAGGTATGAACCAATAGTCCCATCCTTGTTGAGCATCCATTTCTGTCTTTCCTTCCCATGCTCTACCCACAATGCTACTTTGGCTCCAGGCACATCTCTGCCTCCAATAACGTCAAGGCAAGCATCATTGACCTAGATAAGTAGATGGGGAAATAGAACCTAGTCATTGCCTTGAAACAGTTCAACATTTATATAGAGACACACCTACAAGAATACAGTCAGAATGTAACAATCAACTAGGCTAAGAGAAGCCTGCATCTGTCATACCACTTAGTCACCACTGTAACATCTAGTACTACAGATGTAGAAGTCAAGACATACAACTGATTTACTGAGTACAGAATACTTTTATTACCATTCAGCTTAAAAACAATGTATTTTACCTGAAGAATAGAAACAAAGATGAGACCCCAAATTCATTGTTGGGTGTGGTTGTGCCGTATAGACCTTTGGTCAGTTGTACTGAGGTGGTTTTGGCCTAACCATAAAGCAAAATGCAGCAGCTAATTCTGTGGCATAATTTCCTGTCATCTTGGGTGATGGGCAAGCTTGTTGCTCTGTAAACAAAAGTGGCTGCCATTCAGTTATGCTGCCTTTTCACAAAAAAATGTGAGAGGCTAAATACATTCTTGAGCTGCTCAAAGGAGCTCACTCTATAGCTTACTAGTTTTACCTTGGATGCCAGTGGAAATCTTGAGCTCTCAGAAAATATGCACAGTAAGACCAATTTCCAAGTATTCTGTGAGGGTGATGGCATCTATTACATAACAACATACCACTTATGGCACAGCTCATCTATCACTGCATCTAAGTAGCAGCCCAGGTGATGTAATACACAAAAATGACAAGGGTTGCCAACTAATTAAGCTGACTTTGTTTCTCGCTAATGCATGGTAGAGATTACCTGAGAAGTTGGTTACTATCACATTCATGATACAAAACACACTACAGTAACAGTTTAGTAAGGCTTGCATTCACCAGAGTTATTTATACAAGTGAATATCACATTCAAAGTGAACACATCTTAACTTGAAAAAAATATAGACGTCAAATAATTTATTCTTCCATGAAGTCTGCTATATGAACAAATGAACTCAAGTGACAAAGTTGTATTTAAAGTATTTTCACTATAAAAGGCCCTGTGCATTTATAAAAAGTGGGAACAGGAACTTGTTAATGCAATGGAAACTTGAGATTAGAACCCAGGCTGGATAAGCAGCTGGTTAAAAAAGGGTGGGGGCAGAGGAATGGGGAAGCACCCTCCTCCTATGTAAGTTTCATCTGCTGTAAAACATTCTGTCTTGGTCCCTATCTGGACAACAAGAAATAGTGGCCCAGTTTTGCTGTGACAAGGCAGAGACAGAAATATGGCATTGTAATTTCAACAGCTAGCAGAATACCTTGGACTTAATGAGACCACAGCTGTAGCTCCAGATCTGTGTATTCTCGCCATTTAATGGGGAAAGACATACTGATGTCGCTCTTGCATCCATTAGATTCCCAGCAACTGTCAGGAATTTGCCTTGAGATCTGTTTTTTATTCTGAAGTAAACTGCTGGCTAAAAAAAAAAGGCATAGAACTTGAAGAAGCATAGAACCTTATGATAAGTCCATACAAATAAAACATTTCCCCTCTTAAAGGGGGAACACTTGTATGATTGAGGCACAATATACAGAAAGCTGATGGTTGCTATGCTAAATATGTACTCCACTTAAAGAAACAGAAACTCTTTTAAGGAGACATTTGCTACAGTACCTGCTTTACAGGACGCAGGGAGCCAGTTAGTTTCCATCTGCTAAGTTGAGTCCAGTTTGAAATCTTGCTGGGTTTGAGGAGAAATTGCTTTCCTAAGAAATTACATCCTTCATATGCAATCCACCTAGTTCAAATAGGATGCAAATTAAATACATTATTATTCCAGCTTTACAAAACAAGAGCTAGGCAAATCTTTGACATTTTTCATGATCATCTTATACGGAATACCAAGATGTAGCTGCAATCCAATGCATGCTTGTGAGACTTACTTCCCAACAGATATGTCCAAAGTTGGGGCCAGATGTTTCAACTAGATTAGCCTAGGTCTTATAAGGGAAAGGTGACAATCTATGCCAATTTCAGTTAGAACAAAGCAAGCAGAGACAGTGTCAAAGATTTGTGTAGAACATGAGAATATCAACTTCCTATTCAGAGGGGGTGTTGGTTATTTGAACAATTCTGGAGAAAGAGAAGAGAGAGAAAGAAAGATGGAATATTTAAATTTGGAGTAGTGTTTCTTTTTAACTCCAAAGAAAATCCATCAAAGAAGCGACAGCCTCTTGCCTTTATCTAGCATAATTTTGGTCGGTTTAATGTGATGTTCTCCCTCCCATAAATCACCACATACTTTAAAAATCTTGTGTGAAAGTTAGAATGCATAGTTTCTTGGGGCATGAATGCAGGCATGCCATTTTCTGTATTGTAGCCTATACCTGTTAACTTGGAAGAATACTTTCAAGGCACAGTAAGAATGCATACATTTTCCTCTAATTAATAGCTTTCTACAGTTTTCTTTTTGCACCACAGGAACTACATTTAGAATCTATAGCTGCTGCAGCCACTAACTTTGTTCTGCTGCAGGTTCTCAATGTTTTTCTTCCAAACCTGTCCTAAATTAAGATTGAGCATTTCCTGTTTTGCAAGTCTAATACAGCAATTTATCCAGGCATTTTTTGGTTGTTCTATCTTGCTTGCAACATCTTAAGTTCAGATTAGTGAAATTATTATTTCAAAATGTGTTTTTGCAAGACAAATAGATTTCTTAACTAGTAATGCACATATACATTCCCAGAAACGTTATACGAGTGTAGTTCATTTTATAACCTTTGACACCTTATCTGCTAGGAACAATAAAAATTATTTAAAGGAAAGTCAAAGTATTAAGAGTTTTTAAATTGTATTGATTAAGTTACCTTTTCTAAAAATAGTACAAGATTAATGCCAAGTTTATGGTACAAAACTGATTTGCTTTTTTTGGGTAGTATAAACCAAATTGAAATAAATAAACCAGAAGTTAACTGCCTGATCTGAAAGTTATTTTGCACAGTTCCCTAAGGCAATGACTGCATAGACTTTCAATATTTGTTAAAAGGTTACACTATGTCACAAAGAATGATTATTCTCAACTGTGTATACCACCCTTCCCCAACCTTGTGCCTTCCAGACACATTTGCATGGCAGCACCCAGAATTTTCATACAATGGCCCTTGTGGATGGGAATTCCATGAGTTGTGGTCCAAATGCCTCTGAAGGCCACCAGGTTGGGGAAGGCTGATGTATACAGAAAAGTATGAGAATTGTGCACTGACAACAAGATTAGACCAGGATTCAAAGGCCACCCAGTTCAACTCAAGTTGGGATTCATGAATTAAAAAGGCTTCATGGTTCCAAATGACTACTATTGAAGTCAAACAACAGCTACTTTTTTTCCTCTTAATCGGATATGGAAAAAAATCTGTAGGCATAGTAGTCCCATAGAAGGGGATTATAACTGCCAAATTGTAGCAACATAGGTGGGGAATGGATGTAATTTGTAGAGATAGCTGGTTTATTTTGGCAGACCATTACCTTTTGTCCTGAGTGAAAAACCCATGAAGTTACATAATATCTCCTTGATTTACCTGTTTTTTGGACCATGGCATGTCACTCGTAATTGGTTTTAGTTGTTTTAAATTACGTTTCCATTTTGTATATTTGTATACGATTTTGTATACGTTCTACTGAAAGCCATTTAAGAAACATAATAATTTAATAATATGGAATACAGGACAAGGGAGAAAACACAAAAATGTACTTGTTGTAGAAAAATAAAGTACAGTGGTACCTTGGCTCACGAACCTAATCTGTGCCAGGAGTCTGGTTCTGACCAAAATTGGTTGTGAGCCAAGTTAAATTTCCCCATGAGGTTCAATGTAAATAAGGTTAATCCATTCTGAACTATTTTTTTTAATCAGAAAAATGTGAAGCAAAGTGACAAAGAACAAAGAGCATGGCCATCTCCCCCCGCCCCCAGCACAACCGTGATCACACTGGGGGGGGGGGAGAGACTGGTGAGAACGCAGGCGCACGGTGGGGGGGGAGATGGCCGAGGTTGCGGTTGCGCTCATGTAGGAAAGACCGGTGCAATCATGGGTGTGCTTGTGCAGGAAAGACAGGCACGATCTCGGCCATCTCCCTCCTGCCCCCAGCACGATTGTGGCCATCTCCTCACTCGGGGGTGGGGTGGGGAGATGGCAGTGATTGTGGTGGCCACCCAATGCGGAGTTTGTGACCTGAGTCAAAATTTTTATGAAATTTCTGTTTGCAACCCGATTTGATCATAAACTGAGGTGTACTATTTCATTACAGTAGAAATCCTGTATTCAGTTACCATGCTTTCACTTAACTGTGATTGACTGCAGTCCAAACAAAAAGCCCAACATGCAGGACTACGGCCTGCTCCGAGGGAGCTTGTCCTGTATCACAGCACAAGTCTCATGCACACCAGTTCCAAGTCTGGTGCCTGCCTGCCCTCGTTGGAGGGAGGTGCACCATTCTAGGCCAGCCATGGTGGTGGCTGGAAAGGGAAGTGTTCCCAAAAAGCTGGCCATGGTGAGATGGAGTGTTGCCCATGTGGGTCTCCTCCCTCTCACCCAGCCCACCTCCTGCACCCACCCACAGTGCAGTAGGCCACCCACAAGCAAAACAACAACTCCCATTTAATTATTGATGGCAAACTTGGAAATAATCAAATCAGTGACAAAGTCTAGGTGCAACTGTATATAGTGGTTACTACTATCTGTGGTTTCAGGCATCCACTTGGGGGCTTGGAACTTAACCTACATGGATACAGGGCTCCTACTGTGTATTACTACCACAAAGCAGATACCATACTTACAGTCCACTTCTCACCCACACAGATTGTGTAGGAAAGTGAAGATTCTTATTCAGAATTGAACTAACAGCTTCTTGTAAATGCAGCTCTCTGCCTTCACAGTTCTCCAAAGCAAAAAGGCTGATGGAAGGTTCAGCAAAAACCTACAGGACATACAAAAACTGGTAATATTAAAGTCAATTCTCCTCCTCTCCGGCATCTCTGCTTGCAAAATGACAACATTTAGTTGCACAGGAGACAACTTCCTCCAGAAACAGGTGTCACTGCTTATCTGGACTCGTATCCAACAGCGCAAAGCTAGTGTTAAGTGCACTTAAGCTTTGACACTGGAGACTACAGAAATAAGGTTACAAACAATTGAAAATTTAAGGTAGAAAAATGAAAGAACAGTTCATCTACAGACTACAAAGATGTTCTTACTGGAACATTTCCCAACATAGTAGCTCATTACAGATGAATTGGTACCGCAACGTTTGAAAAAATAAATCTAGCTAGGAGTCTGTTACGTGTGAGTAAGCCCCCTTGATTAGAATGGCATGGAATGTGCTGCAAGGCATAAGAACAGACAGGCTAAGGGAACATGATTTCCTTTAGAGCAGTGATTCCCAACACATTCCCCCAGGGCATTTAAAGGTATGTGAAAAAAAATAATGGCAGAAAAAGGCACATATGCCAACAGTGTAAAACAAGATACAGGTAAAAAGTTGTGAAATGAATTGAATGTTCTGACGAGTTGTGGAGTGGGTTTTCTTCATTATTTAACCTTGAAAAAACCCTGTTCCCTTGCTTTCTTATTTTGGCAAATGATGGAGAGTCCCTTCCTAAACACTGTATTGCGAACAAGCCACTATAGTGCACATGCTTGTTGGTGCACCTCTCATGGGCTCAGCTTTCACTCTCTCTCAGTCTTTGCGATTGTGTCATGAAGGTAGCCCCCAATATAACCTGGAGTCACTGCTGCATCCAGAGGCAAAGCCTAGCATCGAAGTATCTCCTTGGTGATTTACAAGTTGTTCTTGATGAAGCTATTACACTGGTTAATTTTATAAAGTCAAACTCCAGAAATGCGAGGATTTTCAAAGCACTTTGTGAAGAGATGAGTCTTCATTTTATCCTGCTCCTTCGTACAGGTGTCCCTCTCATGGTAAAGTCCTTACCTGGCTATTTAAACTTAGACATGAGGTCCAGGGTTTTTTTTTGTTTTGTTTTGTTTTTTTGGAAGAACATTCGTTCCAGCTTGCTTCCAAGTTACACAACTGATTGACTTCAAGATCTACATATCTACATATCTTCAAGATCTACATATCAGATATTTTTCTACAAATAATCTAAATTTGGCACTTTAGAATAGTTTAATAACAATCTCCAAAGTTTCCAACAAAACTGTGTGATTTAAAAATTAGATTTTTGAAGGTCTTATATTGAAAAAGGCCAAACTGAGGGATTTGAAACTTTATACAATTTCCTATCTGAGAACAAGCTGTAGCTCAGAAAATGAGCAAGAAAATAACTGAATACTTGAAAGGGCTAAAATCATCTTTTGACAAGTACTTCTCAAAACAAGGAGAGCAGCAGGACCCTTTGAAGAAGAATACTTCCTAGCTGCCAGATTATCAATCAAGGAAAGAAAGATCTTGATCACACTTTTGACTGATACTACTTTAAAAGCTGAATTCAAAGAAAAATCCCTTAGTAACTTTTGGGCAGACATCTGAGAACACAAACAGCTTTCTGACAAGGAACTTAAGTTTCTCTTGCCATTTACAAAAACGGAGCTGATTTGAGAGGGCTTTCTCTTCTTAAACCTCTACAAATACCATAGTAAGCTGAATGTAGTTCCAGGTGTATCTTACGTCAGTTGAATTTGATTTCAAAAAACTGCCTCAAAACAAGCTCAAGGATCGCATTAAACATTTGTTGTGTATAAAACATTTATGGGTTTTATAAATACTATTACAAAACATATTAAAGTTTTTCAAGTATTAATACATTAAGTAACAATTGTATTAATATAATGTAGTTTTTTATGTAATCTGTGATGTATTTACTTGAATTCACTGAAGTCTCTTGAGTTTTGAATGTAATATATGCACTGTCCATCTTATTACTCCATTCTCTTTTAATCCCATTATTAGACTATTTACAGTTATAACATATATTCAAATTAATAGCAACTACATTAATTACAAACATTTTGCTAATCATCATTTATTGAAACGGGATGCAAATGAAAAAAGATTGGGAACCACTGCTTTAAAGGGTGATTACTGAAGCGGGGAGCAACATCAAAAGGTGAAAAATATGATAGGGCCAGTACCTGCTTTTACTGCTAAACAAAATCTTCAAATTAGTGGAGAATTTTGAAGCAAAGACACTCTTTGTCAAAAAAACTCTATATATTTTGATCATCATTTTTAATTTTGAATTTTGCATTTAAATTCTTATAAGGAAAGAAGCTTACATAACTCCAGTTTATCCTTGCAACATCAACCCTGTGAAGTAGGTTATGCTGAGAATCTGACCCAAAGTAATCCTGTGAGTTTCATGGCCAAGTGGAGACTAGAAACTTGATCCCCTTGGTCCCCAATCCAACTATGATACCCCGCTGGCTTTCTGCCAACTTCAGTTGACATTCCTTTATCCTACTGCTAATACCCAGTGAGCTTTCAAAGAAAATCAACCAGATCAGGGATGGACAACTTGTGAACCTGCAATATATTTTGTCCTACAACATTTACCAGAATAGCCAAGAGTGAGGAATCCTGGGAACTCTTGGACAAAACATGGAGCTCCTTAAGTTCCTCAGACATGCAGTAGATGCTTGCTTCCCAAATGCACTAGCTATGTGAATACTTGACCCCTTCTGAAACTACCTGTCAACTTGACCTGCTTCTGACACAAGCATGGAATGGAGGGTCATGGTGCAGTTGGAGGATGTCTCTGCTCTAAAAGTGCAGCACTGAAGGGATTAAAATGCCACCTTCCTCACTGCAGTTAAGCCTTTCATTGTCACCTGTACTGCTTGCCCTGCTGTCAGTTTCAGGAAAGTTCACTAGGAAAGGTCATTGAAAGCACTTTGCCCAGGGTGCCTTGAAACCCAGAACAGAAGATTCACCACTTCATCTTGAAGTACTCCAGATGTATTCTATATGAAGGAAATAGTCAAATGTGGGATTTCTCTTTTATGCATATATTCCCCCATTGGATCAGTAAGTATAATTTGTAGTTTTGTAACGCCTCAAGATGTTAGACCCTGATGCTGGGAATGATTCAAGGCAAAAGGAGAAGGAAACGAGAGGTTGAGGTGGCTGGATGGGAGAGGTAGGTGTGGGGTTGGGTGGACTCCAGGATGGTGAAGGATAGGAGAATCTGAAAGAATATTGTCCATGGGGTCACAAAGAGTTGGACATGACTTTGCAACTGAACAGCAACAAAACATCTCTAGTCCCAGACTCAGATGAGGAACAGAGCCTTGGTCAACCACTCTTTTGGCCAAATACATCACGTCTTATGAGCTGGGCTGAGCTTAACACCCAAGAGCTTCAGCCCACAGCAGCTGATTTTGGCCCGGGGGTGGGGGGTGGAGGTTATGTGAGGGTTTATACAACCTTCACAGAACCTTTGGCTCGTTCTGGGTTTGTTATTCATTCCTTGAACAACCTCCAATAGCTGGGTTTGCATGACAACCCCCAATTGGATGCTGCATATACAAGTCTCACACATCATGCACCACAGCTCAGTGTGGCTTAACTAATTCACAGTGAGCCCCTGTGCATTGTGTGAGCCAGGTCCTATAGTGCTCTATACAATGTTTAATATCCTTGATTTATAATTTCTTGTTCAGTTGCAAAGTTGTACCCGACTCTTCATTTGAGTCGTATATACTGACTGCTTAAAATACACATAATTCTCACAAAAGCAAGCAGACAGTGCATGTTAGAACACAAGTCTACCCATGTCCCTCCACTGTTCAGCATTTCTTCAGGCTACACAATTACAAATGCCCTGAGTCAAGTTCTTAAGACAGATAACTGGTTTATGAGATTTGCCCAGCCTACATAGGGACATGCTTGTGCTATTCCAATTTCACAGTTCCTATTTGGCTAAGCTCTGCTGATGCTTTCTAGTACTACTTTTTAGGCTTTGGTAAAAGTATCTTTAGCTAGACAAACCTAGGTTCTCTTTAACATGTTCAAACACTTATGAAACAAAATAACATTTTCACTACCAGAGGCTGTTTTCCTTGAACTTGAGTTACTGGAATCTAATAGATTTCTGCTGTGTATGGCTTTTATGGAAACAGACTTTTAAATAAAATTCTTACATATTCAATAGGCTCAAGGGACTTGACCACTGCTGCTGGACAGCCACAGGAAGCAAGGTCAGCATAGAGACCTTCTTCCAGCACACACTGATAATCAGCAGTTTCCTCCAGGTAATGTAGCAACCAGCTGAAAGGATTAACCCACAAAAAAAGGTTAATTATTGCAATCAGTTACTATGTTTTTTTCCAAAATAAAATCTTTATAGAACAGAAATTCATAAACAAATATTAGTTTCATTTTGAGAAATTGCAACTAAACCCAGTTAGGTGGTGTAAATATTAAAATGACTGCATGATCAGTGCTAGCCCCACAGCTTAAGGACCTCCCAGCCACAGTGTCCTTGGCAGGCTCCCTGACATTGCCGTGCTCTAGCAGACCTGCTGGCAGTAAATAACATAAAAGTGCGTAACCAAGTTGCTTTTAAAATGATTAATACTCACGATCCCCGTAGAACTTTAAATGAACAAGGAGTGAATGATGCAAAGTCAGCAACTTCTGTTGTAAAATCTACACATGATCCTTGGAAATGTGCGTTACTAAAAGCTTTAATCTAAAAAAGCAAAATTTTAAAACAATGCATAAGCAGCACCTGGAAACCACTTACACAGATCATAATAAGCACTTTTGTCATAGGGAAACACTGCACTGCCATTCCAAAGTTTAAGATACAAAATATATACTTTAAATACAATACTTACTAATGTATCATTTGTAAATGATATAACAACAGCATGGTTCCAACTGAGGCATGCCTGGTGCCAACTTTAACATCTTTTTAGTGCCAGGTTAAGACTGTTCTCTACCACAGGGCATTTTAATTAGTTTATTATTATATCATGGCTTTGTTAGCTACTTAAACAGGTCTTATAATTCAATTTGTATAAGTTATAGTAACTTTTAATATTTTAAAAATAGTTTTAATTTTTGCTTGGTAATTTTAAAAAGATGCTTTTATTTCTGTTTGTATTTTATATTGTATTGCATTTGTATTTTATATTGCATTTATTGTGCTGTACATTGCCCAGTTTGTAAACACAAATCATGTCAGTGGAGTTCTTTGAAACTTTCCATTGCACAAATAGCACTTGAACAATCAACTGTGTAGGCAATTTCACAATGGATTAAGCAAGAAGAATGCACAATGTATTGCATATGATGCACAAAACTTGGGTACAATTGGATGAAGAAGCATAACTGTGCAACTGTTCTTGTGCAAATGTAACTTTAATTACGTTCTTTTGTGGATAGTCCAGAACCTAATTTTTGCTAGTGCAACATCACTTGCATTAGCAGAATACTGCAGTAGGGTACTGTCCATAAATAAACAAATGGAACAAGAAACCTGGGAAAGCTAATAAGAAATGATAAAAAAAAAATAGGTGGCCTATGTTCAGGATCTTGGAAAAGGCAAAATCAATCCCTTGCAAAAATAAACCCCTAATTAGTTTAATATTAGAGTTAAGATACAACTGTGTAATCTCACATTCCAGGGGTCTTAGATTATTGTGGCCCTGTACATGGCGGAACCTCTGCTGCCATTATTCCATACCATAGTGTTCCAACTGTGATGGGAGAAAAAGGGGGAATGTCAAAGGTAGACTGAGAGATCTACAGGGTTTATGATGCACTCATTTCCTCAAAACAAAATAAAAAAATCCCTAAGTCATCCCTTTCAAGCACATCCGTAATGAATTTGCTTTTCATAAGAGGGCTTTGCCACTAACTGTTCCTGAAACCTCATGAGAATTATTCTGCTTATTATGTTTTAATTCTGTACTTTATTGTGTGTTTTATTTAATTTCAGACTCTTCTAATTTATCTAATAGTGCCCAAGATATTTTGGGGTGTTTGAGTTAACTGGGTTTCCTGATTGTTCGACTTACTTGAATGGTTTGAAATACTGACACAGTCTAACTTTACATTGTATAATGATTGTTTATCACAGCTGTTTGGAAAATACTAAGGGTGCAATCCAGCAAGACAGCTCATAACCTTATGAAATCAGAGGATTATTTTCATCCTATAAAGGTTGCCTCTGTGCTCATCCAGCTGTGCAAAGCAGCTAGAAGGCCAGTTTCAGCCATCTAACTGTGCTTTGGAAGGAAAAAGAAAGAGGCTGAAATACCAGCAGGATTCATTGCATTCTGCATCACTGGCCCTATCCCATTCCTGCTTCCCAGAATGTACACTGTGTTCTTCCCCAAGGCCATTCTTATGAATTTGGAGTTGCAGCTGTCATGGTTCTTTCCATGAAAGGTACAAAAGGGAGGGGGCGGGAACTTGAAATGCAGATCCCTGGCTCTAGGATTACAGCTGCTTTCCAACTTCAGAGCTGGGGATCTGAATGATCCTATGGCTTGCCAGATGCTGCCCAGGGGCACAGAATTTTGCTGCCCCAAAACTAAGATCATAAGAACATAAACGCCATGCTGGATCAGGCCAATGGTCCATCTAGTTCAGCACTCTGTATACACAGTGGCAGACCTGCTGCCCACAGGATTGCTCAAGCAGGATGGGTGCAAGACCTCTGCCTGCTCAAGCTCCTCAGCAACTGCAGGCATGTTGAGATGAACTATACCACCAAGATTATTAACCTCTGATAGCCTCCTCCACCATGAACCTTTCCAATCCCTTTTGGAAGTCATCTAAATTGGTGGCCATCTCTACTTCCTGTGGCAGAAAATTCTATCGCTTAACTATATGTTGTGTGAAGAAGTACTTCCTCTCTTTGTCCTAAACCTCCCACCAATCAGCGTCATGGGATGACCCAGGATTCCAGTGTTATGGGAGAGGGAGAAAAATGTCCCCTTTTCCACACCATGCATTATTTTAAACATCTCCATCATGTCTCTCCTTAGGTGCCTTTTTAAAGTTAGACAGTCCCTGCTGTTGTAGCTACTTCTCATACTGAAGTTGCTGCCACCCCTTAATCATTTTTCTTGCACTTCTCTGTATGCATTTATACCTAAATTAAAATTAGTACTGGTAAAAGTGGAGACTTAGTGATCATATGTCAAAATTTACACAATGACTAACAATATTTTATATCTGCCTAATTAAATGACAAATGAAAAGGTTTCTAGGAAGGAAATCAGGGTTGTTAAGACTACATTGTAGAATAACATACAAATTAGGTCTTTGGAGAGAAATTATTTCCTGAAGGTCCTGCTTAGAAATTGAAGTGTGGAATCTAAGCTGTCCTAAAGAGTATATTATGTGTGCCACCCACTGTGTCAGTTTCTATTACCAGTGCCTAGACACAATGGAAAGGTATCAAGATGACAAGACAGCATTGTCTCAGATTTTCTCCTTCAAGAGGGTTTAGTAAGCTTAATGGTTTGTTTAGTAATAGTAGTAGTAGTAGTGATGATGGTGATAAGAATGATGATAAAATAAAATGAGCAGGAAATGCTGTTTGATTTTTCCATAATAGAACTTAATTTGTATTTCTTTAAATAAAGCTAACTTATCAACTTATTAGATGCTTACAGGGAATGATAAATTAAGGAAAAAGGAAAGATAAAGCTATAAGCAAATGAACTGAGTTAACTTGAAAGAATATGTGAAAGGTAGGAGTACTTGTCAATTTGCAGCCCCTTACATACAGGCACACTAAAGAAATAATTATTTCTTAAGGTGGTTACCAAAGGATGCCTATGTAAAAACACCACAGTGAAACCTCACAGCATAAAACGTCTGAAGTGTATGATTAACAATGGTTATACTTGTTTTTTCATCATTCAATGTTATGTTCCACCCTATCCTTATGATTAATTTTTATAAATATGAATTTTTAATACAGGAAAAATGTACATATTGAGTAAGATACAAAACTTTATAAAATATATTTCTTTTAAACAAAAGAACAAAATCCCACCAAAGTTATTTTAAAAGCTGATTAAAACATCCAAGTCAAGAAGGAAATGACAATGCACAGGCAATAGTCAACAATATTCTTGGCCGGGGCCCCAATTCAGATATAGTTAGCCATGATTACTCCACTCGTATTGAAAACTTAGTTCTAGTGGGACTGGGGCCACCGTCTTAAACTTACAATATGCCCTATACCAAAATGAAACAAAACAATATAAGCTTTTAGGGAAATAATTTCATTGAAAAATACTTCAATGATTCCACCCCCAAGAACTTACCCAGTGTATTGGTTCATGATTTCCTAGTGGCTCCTGTAAAGTTACATACATAATGCAAATATAAGTACATTATTCATGTATAATGCTATATGTCTTGAAAAGGCAATTGAAGCACATTATGATACTATGGTCCTTCTTGTTTAAAGACACAAAGTGAAGTCTGAAGTTGGAATGCTCTCTGGTACAATGGTAGAAAACTCTGTCACTGGAGGTGCTCCATAAATGGAAAGGCCTTATCAGGGGAGGCTATGAATTTGCAAGATTCAAAGCTTCTTCCAGGGATGGGTTAACATACAATGTATGTGTTTGCTAAGATTCTCTAAATTCCTTCTCAAAAGTCAGTTTTCCTTGTGCATGTTTCTGATTTTTTTCTGATTTGGAAATATGTACATTTTTTGATCAGGGCAAAATGCACATTTTTAAAAGCATAGATTTCTCTCAGTTGAAAAGTGTGCAATTTCCCTTATTTGCTAGCATTAGAGGACTTAATCCATTTCCATGGCAGTCATTGCAAGGGGGGGGGGGTTTAAAAGAGAAAGCAAAAACAAACAAACAAGGACAAACACAGATAACCATCCCTACTTTTTCTGGTCCTGGTCTAGATGTTGATATGGTCCCTTACATAAGGAAATAATGCACAGGTACTTGGAACAGTTTACTGCACAAATGGTTTTCTTTGGCTCAAAAAATAATAAAATGGATTTTTACAACATCAATATGATTACAAAGGAGGCATCAAATGCCTTAGATTCTTTTAATAATAATGACTATGGATTTCCAAATTTTGTATATCTAGTTTTTATTTGTTTTGCTATAACATTTGGACCAAACAAGCATATTCTCTATTCCTCTCTTTAAAATACCTCATTAAATATATCCCATTTGGGTATTATATCTAGATATTTCTTCAATTGTGGTAGCTCAGACACAATGCAACCAAAAAGAAAAAAAATCCTAAAACAGAAAAGCTCTGAGTATATTTTCAATCAACAGAAAGCCAAAATTCTATGCATTTGAGATGTTTTGTTACAGTGCTTGCATGGGAGAGGCTTAACATGGTTTATATTATGATATTAATATTTTTAACAGTTGCTCATTTTATCAGTTTACATACATTATAATTAGGATTTTTTGGTTTTATCTGACAGTGTATCACCAATTATGATAACTTACCAATTTAATGGGACGGATTGACATGATAATTTCACTAGCTCCTCCCCAGTCAAAAAAACATTTATATTTTCCTTTCTCCAATATATACTGTTCTCCACAGAAGTACTTCTGCTGATAGGCAACCCACCTAGATATGACACACGAGAGGCACAAATTCATAAGACAATTAAGTCAAATATATTCAAGTAATGCAAGGATGGGCTATTTGTGACTGTTCAGATGTTCTGACTGGTAACTCCCTTCAGCCCTGGCCAACACAGCCAGTAGTGAGGGCTGATGGTAGATATAGGCTAAAATATCTGGAGGACCACAAGTGGCCCACTTATGATCTAGAACCAAGCTCAGTTCTTCATTTGCTCATCTAGGACAGATTTAAAACAGGCACTGCACTGAAACTGATCTCTTCTGATTCAATACTACATCTTATTTCAGTTTGCTTATAAAAGCCAAAGGAAATTATATCCTTTTGCTTGTAACTTCAAGCTGATGTAACATTGCACTGACATCCAGTCTGTTTCATGGGTCCCGCGATGTCTTTAAGGGGGTAGGGAATACTAACTCAGTGTAAGCTTTGGCTGCTTACCCAAAGTAAACACTATGTGTGGTGCTTCTGGGGTGGTTAAGGGGTTCTTTCATGCATGTATGGATGCTTACAGCACCAGAGCAAGAACAGCTGCATTAGAAACATGCTAGGGTTCTTTGTTTCCACACCAAATTATAGTTGGTCTAGAAGACATGGCAAGATACTTCATTGTAACTTCTGGGGTCACACTTTATCTGATCTCAACTTTCCAATACTGAATTTTACTGTAGAGACAAAATAAAGCACCCACTTAGACCTGGGGCTTGTAGTCTAATACAGTGAAACACTGAATACTGTGTTGCTCAATGTTTGCTAAACTGGGTTCAGTTGCTGTTCTTACATCAAAAGAGAAAAGCCTATTTCCTTTATTCAGATGATTTGGCAAGTTTAAGACTGAGTAACTTACTCAGTTTCGTCAGTCATTTGTTTATTTATTTAAAACTTTTGAATGCCGTCCCTTATGCATGGCATCTCAGGACGGCTTGTAATAATTAAAACAACCACAATAAAACAGCAATAAATAACAATTAACCAAAAACTACAAATAAGTTAAATAAAAGTGACTGTTAAGCATTCAAATTTAAATTATTTTTAAATAAACTAATAATATAATTATTATATGTATTATTACTATTATTTAATAATAAACAGTTAAATAAAGAGGTTTTAACCTGGCGCCGAAAAGAATATAAACTCAGCGCCAGGCGCACATCTCCAGGGAACACATTCCATAATCTGGGCACCACCTCAGAGAAGGCCCTCCTCTGAGTAGATACCTTTAGATGTTCCTTCAGGTATCCCAGTCCCAAGCCGCTTAGTGCTTTATAGGTCAGAACCAGCACCTTGAACTGGGCCCAGACTTCAACAGGAAGCCAGTGGAGCTGATAGAGGACCAGCGTTATATGAGAATAATGACTGGTCCCCGTTAGCAACCTGGCTTCTCTATTCTGTATCAGCTGAAGTTTCTGGACCGTTTTCAAGGGCAGCCCCATGTAGAGCATGTTACAGTAATCCAACCAGGAGGTTACCAGAGCAGTATCATCTTGCACCTGTGCAACAGTGGAATCAACTACTTGTACAAGAAGGATTTAACACTTTATCAATAAAGCCAAATGAAGAAGCACTTAATAAATGTTGCAGAAGCAGTTGCTTCTGCTGGTGCAACACAATCTAGTAGGATTGCAGCAGCCCATATTCTCCATGTCAGAATTTAATTTTTTATTATTTGCATTTTTACTAGCCAGTTTGATGACAACTATGATTGAAGTCAAGAAGTAAATTGTTAGTCACTACAGGCGTGGGTTTATCTTTCATGGATTTGATTGTGAGTTTGCATCAAAAATTAAATGGGATTTTTTTGGAGCTTTGCAGCCTACTGCACAAAATGGTCATTACCATAGAGAAAGGGGAAGCAAAAGGGAAGCGGGGACTCCAAAGCATGCCTTCCTGACCTGCCTATCTATACAGGGAAATCCCTCTGGCATTTCCTTGGTGCAAAGAAGAGGCACAGGTAAGTGAAAGGAAGGGTGGAGAATAAGAACTTAAGAAAGTAATAAATGAAGGAGAGGAGCCCTGCTGGATCAGGCCTAGGTCTGAGAAAGAGTATGGTCAGCAGTATTAAGAATTAAGACTTGCAGGTGGAGTAAAGATATGTGTGGTTTTTCCACTTCCACATGGGTCCTGTGCTCCCAACCCCAATGAATGTGGAAGGCTGACTGTATCTGCAATCACATATCCCTTATAACTCAACCTTTCATTTAGCTTCTCTAAAAAGTTAAGCAGAGTTTGGCTGAAAAGTAAAATCAAGTTAAGGTACTTAGGCAAGTTAATAATTTCATGCTGAAAAAGATCTGCAATGTAACTTACACTCCACTCTTCACATCAATTGATCTTGTAACTAGCCCAAACCCAGCCCTTTCCAAGTCAGGAATTTCTGTATTGGCAATCTTCAACAACTTTCCATTTTCTTCATCCATTTCAAAAAGTGTTACTTCAGACTCCACAAAATCCTGAAATTTAAAACTGAAAATTAGGCGCATCTGATACACGTTTCTTTCCATGCCACCTCTCTTAATGTACAAAATAATTCTGTTACTTATTAATGTATATGTAAAATACTCTAAATATTACATCAACATGTAGAGCTAACTTGAGTTTTGATTAAAGAAGAGTCTTCAATTAGGTTACCTGCTCTAACTCTTTTTTTAAAGCAGAAAAATAATATAAAATAATACAGAGAAAAAGAAAAGATAGAAGAAAAACAAAAAAGAGAGTACATGTGGTGGGGTCCAGACTCTGGACTCATTTGAGTTCACTTGTCATCTCATTATTATCGGAGCATTAGATAAATTCTTATGCTCACCTGTCAATCAGAGGCAGAAATACCTCTTGGGAGGCAATTTAGTACCTTCTTGAACAAGGGAGTAGCATCAAGCCACTGCCATTTGAATTGCCATTCCCTGAAAGTCCAGATTACCTGCCCTAACTCTTAACCCACAATTCCTTAATGGAACTGCAGTTCAAAGCTGTCACTAAGGACTGAGTTACACTACTGAGCAGTCAAACTTAAAACAATGCGACTCTCTACATGCCCTTGATTCTTTTTGACATCACGTTATTAAACTATTTTATACAGAAATTCTGAAGTTGATTTCAAGTTTACCCTGTTCACCTTTCATTTGGTGAAGGAATGAGAATTCAAACATCTATGAAAATATTGTCACTGCTAGACAGACAACTTTTTCTTCAAGTGGTATTTTTCTTGATTTGCTTGAGTGTAGTAATTATAAGACAATTGTAAGAGAATAAATAATAAATGTTTAGAAAACAGTTCCAAATATCCACCTGACATTATGGATTTAAAAATATGAGTGATGATGCAAATGCAGCTTTATTATATCCTAAAAGAAAAGTAACTGCACTAACCACCTTGCAACAGTGGGGCATAATTCAGACATCTAAGAAATCCTTAGTAACTCAGGTTTAGTCTGTGATTTCATACTCAGCAAGAAGAATTGGTATGACAAACTATCCAAGAAAAGAGCCATACACAGTACAAATAACTTGTTCATCTTGGGAATATCCCATGCATTGGGCTGAGGTTTTCTCAAGGGGGCTTCTGACGCTGCAGCTAGAACATTCAGAAACTCATTTTAGAGTAAGATCTTTTATTTCTGCTAATAACAAGTTCATAGCTTATGAATGTAAGCCGTCCTGAGGCGTTAAGCGATGGGACAGCATAAAAAAACCTCAAATAAATAAACAAATACCTTTCCATGTTAAATTTTATGGCAGCTTTTCAATGCAGAAAAAGGTGATAAAGATGTACACCCTGATCTGAGAGAATGGAACTGTGTACAGAAGTAGGCTCCCACACATGCATCAGAAACACGAAGTAAGATGAATGTACATCTAAATGGACAATCGTCACTGCAATCCTTTTAAAAGAATGCATGCTGGACATGCATCCCAATGCATATCTGAATATGTATGGGGATGTGCATTCAAGTGCATGTCTGAATGTGTATCTTACTAAAATTAAAAAGAGTTAATTCATAAATTAGATGGTCTTTGTGTTCAGCTTCCTGCCTCTACCATCAATACAACCTGCATATATTAAAAGACATACCTAACATTTTGCTAGAGGTATTTACAGAAATGTTAATTTTTGTAGTACTTTGAAGATACTAACACAAAAAAGCTTTGCTTTATTTTTAAAAATCTAGTCATAGAAAAACTTGGCTGAACCCAAGTCTTTGGAAAGAGCTTTGGGATGGCCATAGGGTGTGCCAGTTCTAAATGTGAGAATTTTGCACAATTCCAGATAAGGCATCCTTTAGATAAAGAATCAACAGGCAGCTGTCCAAAGAGTGTTAGGATGGTACTGTAAACGATATCTCGGCCCTAGAAAAATCTGTTTTAAAATTGTCAAGATGCTAAAAAAACAAATAACTAAACAAAAACAGATTTTCTACAAAGAATATTTAATTATTTATGTAAAACTTTTGTACCCCATCCTATATACAAAAGTCACAAATATATAAAATTCACTACATATATAAATATTCACCACATAAACAAATATTCATTTCTTCTTGGAAAAAAAGATATTTAGTAGGCAATTTTCTTTTTTATACTATGTGAAATCAGATATGACTTCTCATATTGAAGCTCCACAAAAATGAGTGCATTCATGAACACTTTAATCAGATAAATGTGTGAAGTTTCAGTAAGGTGGATATGATCAATAATTAATGACAACTGTAAAGGGAAAAAGAATGAGTTTTGTAAAGGTGTAAGAGTAGAATTCAAATGTCAGACTCAAACTGAATTGTGAACCATAATCTCTGTATTTACTTAATCATCCATGTTCTATCCCAATTGTATGGAAAAAAAAAGTTGAAGGAAGAAATAATATTGTAGACCAAAAGAAAACACTTACAGCTTGCAAAAATCGAAGAGAAAGCAAGATGCCACTCACTGCACCCCATGATTGCCAGTTTTCATATTCTCCCTCCTCTAACAGATATTGCTGACCTTTATATCGTTCCTTTGTATAACCAACCCATCTGTAGTAGTTGTAACACACAAGGAAAAATTATGAAATCTCCAGTAATAGTTATCAGTGACATATTTACAAACAGTAATTAAATACCATACTTTAGTGTTCATTCATGTAATATGTTTAGTAGGCAGGAGTCCTGATTTATCCTGGCTTACTGTGAATAAGCAGCATGTTGGTGAATGCAACCTGTTTACTCCTACTCTTCTCTGCCCTTCAGGTAAACAGGTAAAACAAACCATGGAACAAGTGAAGATCATAAGACAGCAGCAAACTCTTCCTAATTTTCTTGAGTTTCCTTATGGGCTGCAAGGCATGTGGCAAATTCAATTGGGTTCTACAAGCCCAATTTATTGTGGAGGTCCAGACTATTTTTTCCTGTTTTTAAATCTGGAATATGATTGCCAGGTTGGCATTTGCACTGTTTTCTCTGCTACCCTTGGGGAAGTTCCAACACCCCCTGACATCTGAACAGAGACAACACTTGCAGAGACCAAGCAAGAACCTCCTAAGGCTCCTCACACCTGAAAATATGTGCAAAAAATGTATAGTTGAAGAAAAAAATGTTTATGCAGCTAACCTAAAAAGTTACAGAAGCATCTTTTTATAAGCAATATTCCTGGTATTCTTTATGAAGATCTTCTATTAGTGATATAAAATAGATGGTACTGTCAGTAACATTTGTTTCAGCTTAGCTCAGTAATAAAAGTTAATGAACTATAAAAACAAATCTAGCACAAATGAAAGAATTACTATTTGCATTTAGCCACAATATGTAGCTTGCAATATTATTACAAAATGATTTCATTTTCCTGCATAGGCATATAGATAGGTCAGAAATATTAACCAGAAAGTTAACCTGACTCAAGCCATTTGATTTGGTGTACATTTTGTACACTGTATTAGGCACTGACCATGGAAATGCAAAATACAAGTCTAAAAAGTAAGAGTGAGTGGTTCATCTGCCCTAGAAGTTGTTTTCAATCTGTTGTGGGTAGGGATGTGTTCCCTGCCAAAAATCAGATCTACAGTGTGAAGATGATGACTCTTTCCACTGTCCTGACTTGGGATTCCAAGTGGCACCTGGAATACTAAACACAAAGTGGCAATATCTCTCGGCTACAGGGATAGCTTACAAATAGTTATTAATCCACCAGTAGCACACCTCTTAGATGATTGTGATGTTGGTATGTAGGACTGTGCTCTTAGAAACTGCAATAGATTCAGACTGTAGCAGATAGGATTACTAACTGCAAGCAGCCATACAGAAATGTCCTGCAATATCTTAACAGATTGGTAATGGCTATCCCTCTTTTTCTTATCTCAGTTCAAAGCCAAAGTGCTTATCTCTAAAGGTCTAAATGACCTGGTTTGCATGGCACAGTAATTCACTGTGGATAACTAACCACAGTGGGTTATCATGTTACCTGAACCCAGACTACTTCAAGCCAACCTGACAACCCATGGTTTGGTCTAGGGGCTGTTCAACTCACAATGGGTTGGCATGTTGACCAAATCTAGGAGAGCAATTTTATTATGGATTCAGGGATCAGCTAGACAGCTGCTCAGTAAGAGTGGCAAAAGCATCTGCCACTCTTCACAATCCCACCCATACTGTTGCCAGTGACAGTTCCATTACAAATGTTCAAACGGCATTTTGGAACAACCCTCACTGATCTGTCACCCACTTTTTCCTCTGGGACCCAGATATGGTGTAATTGTGTTGGCTTTTACTTTTATAATTTTTTGTTGGTCTTTCGCAAATGCACAGAGGGCACTTACGGCTATCCAATATGGTAAGTCTTGCCTGCTCAATTCCCTTGTATGTTTTAGTTGGCAAAGGGAGCTATGAAGAAATAACACATGTGCCAACTGTGAAGGTGAGACTGCATGTGGACAAACTGATGCACAGTGAGCATCGTCCAATTGCCTACTGTCAACTGGAAAGTACCAGCACAGGGGGGAAAGCAGCATTTATTTTCCAGCCATTACATTTGTGTATATTTCTATGGTTCTTTTAAGAACTGTCACTGAGATCCAGGGCAGAATGGTGGTTAGAATGCTGAACTGGGGACCCAGGAAATCTGGGCTGTAGCCTTTATTCAGCCGAGTACCTAAAAGAATTTCTATATATTGGCATGTATTCAAAGACATTTCTCCAGGTGTCCCAATTTTCAGAGGTGAGGTGAATGGTAAACAGCAATGCAGAAAATCCATGAGATGCTCTAGAACATGGGTCTTCAAACTACGGCCTGAGGGCCAGATCCGGCCCGCCATGACCACTTATCCAGCCCGCCATGCCCATTTCGACCCTCTGGGTGTGCACCCGCGCCCACACATGTGCATGCCACCACCCACCTCGCCCCGCACGTGGGGAGGTGGCAGTTTGCTCACTTGGAGTAAACAATCTCCAAGCAAGCAAGCCACTGCCTCTTGCGCCCACCTCGTGGTGCGTGCCCGCCCCACCCCATGCGCCTGCTCATGCCTCCCTGCGTGCGCCTGTGGTGCCTCGCCTTGCATCAGCGCGCACCCCACCCCCACCTCAGTGTGTGTGCCCGCACACACTGCCCTGCCCCCTTGCCAGTCCATGTGCACTGCCAGCAGCACCTTTCTGGCCTGTGCCCAGCACTGGCACCTTTCAACTGGCCCCCTGGTGAAAAAGCTTGAGGACCCCTGCTCTAGAAAAAGGCCTAACACTTGGAGAAATAAAAAGGACTTCTCATGGTGTCTAAAATCTCAATTAGTATAGCTCCCAAGTGACCTATATTTTTGGACCACTGCTTTTTAGAAGGCCAGATACTGAAGATGAAACTCAAATACTTTGGCCACCTAATGAGAAAGAAGGACTCACTGGAGAAGAGCCTAATGCTGGGAAAAATTGATGGCAAAAGAAGAAGGGGATGGCAGAGAATGAGGTGGTGACATGGAGTCACTGAAGCAGTTGGTGTGAGCTTAAGTGGACTCCGGGGGATGGTGGAGGACAGGAAAGCCTGGAGGATTGTTGTCCATGGGGTTGCGATGGGTCAGACATGACTTCACGACTAGCAGCAAGACCTTTTTATCCCAGTATTATATGTTGTGGCACCTTCTGCACTCTGCTGTTTTAACTGCCGTTTTAAAAAGGTGTTTGAATATACCTGTTTTAAGCATTGTTGTAACCAGCCCTTGAAGTCTTTTTAAAAAATGAAATGCAGGGTACCAAACGTTTAAAATAAATAAATCAAAATAGGTAATGACTTCAGTTTCAACAGAAAGTTCATTTATTAGTGATTACTTGTATGGTGTTTCAATGCAGGATTTCCCATGCCAATAGACAAGATTAAAAAAAACTATCATACTTACATTCCACCAATAACACGTATCGATCCAATCCCCTGGAAATCATCAGGATTTTCGAAGAGCATTGGAACACAATCAATATTTTCAGAAAGGTCTTTACACCATCCTCCAAACTGTGGTCTCTCGTATATCATTACCTGCACAGCATGGGACAGTTGGTCCTTTATAATGTATTTCTAAATCCTACATCTTTCTATGTACAGGATATTCTGCAAGTTTTTGAAAAGATCTCCCTGCAGTGCATGTCTTACTTCTTCTAGTTCAACAAATCTATGATTTTCTACCAAAGAAACATTGTAAAACCCCTGCTTGCTATTGTTACTGGAACATAGAAGTCTGAAGTGCTTAGATCAGCCTGAGGAGATTTTGTAGATGGTAGAACCCAGCTTTATTTATTATTATTTAAAGCATTTTTATGCCCCCCCCCCATCACAGAAAGCCTCGGGGCGGCTTACAAAGAAGATAAACAAACATAGGATAGACATTAAAAATTCAGAGCATCCCGGCAATAGTTTAAAACCAAATAACGATGGCACCAGGCAGACCTCTCTGGGGAGCGCATTCCATAGGTGGGGCGCCACTGCAGAGAAGGCCCTCCTCCAGGTACTCACCCTCCTAATATCCTTCACAGAGGGCTCCCTGAGAAGGGCCTCCTCCGCTGATCTCAGGGGGCAGGAGGGCATATATGGACGCAAGCGCTCCTTTAGATAACCAGGTCCCAAGCCGTTGAGTGCTTTACACCTTGAATTGGGCCCGGACTTCAATGGGGAGCCAGTGAAGCTGACAGAGAACTGGGGTTATATGAGAACAAGGCCAGTCCCTGTCAGCAACCTGGCAGCTCTATTTTTCACCAATTGAAGTATCTGGACCGTCTTCAAGGGCAGCCCCACATAGAGCGCGTTACAGAAAACGTATTGGGAAGTTACCAATGCATGTGTCACAGTCACCAGGCAGTTGTTCTCCAGGTAGGGACGCAGCTGATGGATCAGCTGAAGCTGAAGGAAGGTGTTCCTCGCCACCTCTGTTACTTGAGCTTCTAATGACAGCTCTGGGTAGAGGAGCACTCCCAAGCTGCGAACCCTGTCCCTATGAGGGAGTGCAATCCCGTTCAGGACAAGGTCCAGGTCCCCCATCCCGAAGCCTGACCCACCTACCAATAGGACCTCTATCTTGTCTGGATTGAGCCTCAGTTTATTGGCCTTCATCCAGCCCATTACCTTGGCCAGGCACCGGTTCAGTACAGCCACTGCCTCACCTGGATTAGTTGAGAAAGAGAGGTAGAGCTGGGTATCATCAGCGTACTGATGATTCCGCAGCCCACACCTCCTAATGACCTCTCCCAGCGGTTTCATGTAGATGTTGAATAGCAAGGGGGACAAAATGGACCCCTGCGGAACTCCATGGCATAGCTGCCATGGCGCAGAGCCATAGTCCCCCAGCACCACCTTCTGGAATCGGCCATTGAGATAGGAGCGGAACCACTGCAAAGCAGTACCTCCAACTCCCAATCCCGCTAGCCTATCCAGAGGATACCATGGTCGATGGTATCAAAAGCCGCTGAGAGGTCCAGGAGAACCAACAGGGACGCACTCCCCATCTTTCTCCCTGCACAGGTCATCATACAGGGTGACCAAGGCAGATTCAGTACCGTATCCGGGTCTGAAGCCAGACTGAAATTGGTCCAGATAATCAGTTTCATCCAAGAGTGCTTAGAGTTGTCCCGCCACCACCCGCTCTAACACCTTGCCCAAGAACGGGATGTTGGCCACTGGTCTATAATTGGTGGCCACCTCTGGATCCAGGGATGCCTTCTTTAGGACTGGCTGGACTACTGCGTCCTTTATTATTTTTATAACATTATTATTATAACATTTCTATGCCGCCCCTTGCCGAACCTCGGGGCGGCTTCCAACACAATAAAATACATTGAAATACACATTTATTTAAAGGGGCAGGTACCCTGCCATCCCTTAGAGAGGCGTTGACAACCTCCAGGATCCAGGTCCCAATCCCGTCCTTGGCTTTCTTGAGTAGCCAAGATGGGCAAGGGTCCAGTAGGCAGGTGGTAGGACGTACATGTCCAAGCACCTTGTCCATATCATCAGGCTGCAACAACTGAAACTCATCCATCAATTTTGGACCAGACGGCAACATTGGCACCTCCCCAGTAGAATCTGATTCACTAGTAGAGTCCAGCTCGTGACGAATCTGAGCGATTTTGTCCCTGAAATGCTTGGCGAAGTTGTCACAACAGGCCTTCAAGGATGGCACGAGATCTTTCCTTGGGCCCAGGTGTATCAGCCCCTGTACCACTCGAAAGAGCTCCACTGGACAGCATTGTGATGAGGCAACGGAAGCGGAGAAGAATTTCTTCTTCACTGCCCTCACTGCCACAGCATAGGCCCGATAATGGGCTCTTAAGTGTGTTCGGTCAGATTCATCCCGTGATTTCCTCCACCTACGCTCTAGACGTCTCCCAACCTGCTTCATCGCCCGTAATTCAGGTGTATACCAAGGGGGTGAACGGGGTCTGCCAGGTGGGAGAGGACGCTTAGGAGCGATCATTTCAATAGCCCTGGTCATTTCCCTATTCCATAGTTCAACCAAGGCATCGACAGGAGCACCAGCCTTATCAACCAGGAAATCCCTCAGGGCCTTCAGGAATCCATCCGGATCCATCTGGCTCCGGGAGTGGACCAGCACTATCAGGTCTGCACCCTTACAGAGGGAAAGGCTGCTCTCGAGCTCAAACCTCACGAGGAAGTGATCTGACCATGACAGGGGTGTCAGACACAAGTTCCTCACCCTCAGATCACCCTCTTCCTGCCCCGTCGAGAAAACCAGGTCCAGAGTGTGTCCACGTTCATGGGTCGGGCCAATGATGTGTTGAGATAGCCCCATGGCCGCCATGGAGGCCATGAAGTCCTGAGCCACCCCGGTCAGAACCGTCTCGGCGTGGAGATTGAAGTCCCCCAGGACTAGCATCCTGGGAGTCTTCAACACCAAATCCGAAACGATCTCTGTCAGCTCAGGCAGGAAGTCTGTTGGGCAGAAGGGTGCACAGTACACCAACAGAATTCCCAGTCTGTCTCGGTCGCCCAACACCAAGTAGAGGCACTCTAGACCCGGCCTCGAGAGGACAGGAAGCCCTGTGAGGGAAACAGAGGCTCAATAAACCAAAGCGACCCCCATCTCCTCCCCTCCAGGCGTGGTCGGTGCTGGATCAGATATCCGGGCAGACACACTTGAGAGAGGGAATCATCCCCCCCACTCCCACCCAGGTCTCTGTAATGCAAGCCAGGTTGGCCCCCTCATCCACAATCAAGTCATGGATGAGGGATGATTTATTGTGGACCGACCTGGCATTAAGCAACAGCACCGACAGGCCCAGGGGGCGGTTGACAGAACTACCTGGAACCCTCAGGCTGGGGGAATACCCAGAAAGAGGAACAGGTGTTAGCCATCTGTCCCTCCTTCTTCTACGCGGACACGTTAGACCCCCAACACCATGATGTCCATTGCCCATGACCACCCCAATGGCGGCACCCACGCGCTCCCCAGGCAATCCCATATTCGTAGCCGAAAATGACTCCATTAAAAATAAGCTAAAACAAGCTTAAAAATAAGCTTTGGTGGATCCAACTAACAACAAAAGCAATTCAGTCAGATCCAGAGTTCCTGTAAGTGACAATGTTACCTGTGTAGTCCCCTGTAACTTCAGAACATCTACTTCTGAGCATTGGAGGGCTGGAGAACAATGGAGGGCCCTCAGATACAATACAGGTAAAGAGGGAAATGGTGAAAATAAATACCCTCCTTCCTCCAGTGGAAGCCTCTGCTAGATTGCATTGCTCTTTGCAAATGCAAAAAACCCTTCTGCTTGCAGTTGGGAGCAATTCAGGTTTTGTGATTTAAAAAAAAGGAACAGCTGTTAGATTTAAGATAAATAACAGACTTAGATTTTTCCACTATTGTGTATTTGAGGAAATAGTTTTTCTAGAGATTTCAAGGAAGAGTTGGGGACGTGAAAGGAAGATTGCTTTAGTTAAAACACCCTCTATCATGCATTCCTATAGTCAGCACTTTAAAAATAAACAAAAAAGATAACAGCAGAGAGAAAGTTTTCCAGTAAGCGGAAACAAAATATTCAAGATGCTGGACTTCTCTCCCTAATTAATATATTGCTGAGTTCCTCTGTCTGCACTTACCTTAATATTCATAGGCATCTGTACCTTTAAGCCACCCTAAAGTGTAAAACAAAACAAAAACTATGAAGTTAATGAAATCTGAATGCATGTTTCCATTTCCATTAATTCTATGCAAGCATTAGTAAGAACAGTTGCAATAAAAAACTCTCAAAGCGTATTTGAAGGTTAGTATATGAATTCTATAGATAAATAAAGTTAATGAATTCTGGTCTGTCTTTTGTCAGTAAGTGTCACTTACAAAGCTTGATAAGCTTTATAACTGAATACATTAATTTGTTCCTTAAGAAGTAAATATATATTTGTGTAAAAGCCAACAAAAATATTCAGAGTGGACAAAGCCATTTTTTTCTTCTCTCAATTCATACCATCACCATATTAAAAGTGCACTAAACCATATTAAAAGTGCACTAAACACTGATTCCAGGACAGATCTAAGATAATTTGAATCTTCTAGAAGAATCAGGAAATCTTGTAAAGGTTTAACTGATGAATGCCTGAGCATTTTTACTGGACAATCATTTGGGCATGCTGAAATACTCAGGACACATAAAGAAGTGATCACAAAAGAAACTTGTAGGCTTTACTGGTGTAAAATTAATTGAAAGTCTATTCTTACTTCCTCACCATTTTCAATGGATAAAGAGATTTTAGGTCAGCTGCAGAAGTTTCATATGGGCTGTGATTTTCTTCCAAAATCTGTACCTCTCCTTTGTAATTGACATCTGAATAAGCAAGCCATCTATTAGAATGAAAAGGAAGGGGCTGATTAGAAGTGATGATTCATGTGTAATTTCTTTAAAACAAATGGATTGTTGATCTGATCTAGCCCAGCTCTGGAATGTGCACAAGGAAAATAACCTTCTCCTGTTGTTTAATCTGTGTATTTGGCAAGCAGCAGATATATTTGTCCCCGCAAACTGATGTTTCATTTGGCTATCATGAATAATATCCATAGCCCTAGTTCAACTACCAGTATTTTAAAAAGATCAATGTAGTGTTGATCCTTTAAAAAGATATTTGACCCTATATTTTGTTTATAATTAGGCTACTTTAATTCTATTTAAATTGAAGTTTAATATAAATTTATGAGTTTTTCTGGCCCAGGTATTATTGCAATTAATTACTTGTACTGTATATTAAAAATTAAACCATCTTATGTTGCTTCTTCTTTTAACTTACTGTTGTATTTTAAATTTATATTTATATTTTAATTTATAATTATTTTAACTTAATGATGTGAGCCGCCCCGAGGCTTCGGCGAATGGGGCGGCATAAAAATTTTAATAAATAAATAAATAAAACTTATATAGTTAGCAACCATTGACTACTACTGAAACTTTGCCTCATTATTTCACCAGCTCACAAACCAATATAAACAAAATAAACTGTACTCACACTCCTGCTTTTACAGAAAATGTAGTATTTTTGATTTCTAATTCTTCTAAATCAGCAATTCCTGTTTGGATGCAGATAGGAGAATTATCTGTGCCATTTTGTGGATAAAGTTGTATTTCAGGAACATTGGAATCCTGCAAAGCAAATTGCATGGTAAAAGTAAATGAGGCTGTAAGAACTGTGCATATTTACACATTTATTTATGCCCATGAATCATGATTCCAAAAGAACCACCTGGATAGCTAACATCATATAAAACAGTAAAAATTAATAAAAATGCAGTACAATGGCTTTTCAAATCACACACCTCAACACAAAAATAATATAGCAGCAGGAGGAGGAAGAAAACAGGAAAAAATGCTCACAGTTCATACCTTTCACATAGGATGTTTTATTTTACCCATTTTATGATTGTTATTTTATTTCAGATTGTTTAATCAATTATATTTTCATTATATTTTAAAAGATCTTTTTTCTTTTTAATACCACTTTTATCTTTGAATTTGTCATGCATTATTTTTTCTATATGTGGTGCACCATGCCCATGAATTTTCATATTTGTAATTGTTATGTAATTTTATTGTATTTTATTGCCCTTTTCTGTTACACTTATGATAGCCTTTGGCTTTAAACAATACAGAACATCAACTTAGATTTCATATACCAGAAGCAAGCAAACTGGCTAGAAATACTGTGGGTTTTTTGTTTCTGTAAATATAGACAATATGCATATTGCTGCTTAAAGTGGGACTGAATATCCTAAAACAAAGGATTCATTCTTCCTGCAGTGCAATTCATGTGGAACTTCAAAAGTTCCTTTTGGGCAGAAATGCAGAGAAGCTGTCTCACACTTCAAGGACCAATATCCTTATCATATATGCAGTACATACAGCTAGTCCAGCATCACTTTAAACAAAGCAAGGTGTTTGATCTACCATCAATACATTAACAACTGGAAGTGGTCGCCAGGACTTCTGACCCAGATGGACCTGCTGTAGTTAATGGAAAGTTGCTCTCAAGATGGTCACAGACACTCTTCTCCCAAGATTTCTATATGCTCATGCAATCAAGAGCATCTTTTTGACCACACCATCAGTGCACCAGTTTTAGGCACAGAGAAATTTCTTTTGCCTAGAGAACTGTTAAGTTTAAAACTTTTCTGGAAGGGGCAAAAGGAAAAGTATCTCTGAAGGCTAGTATGCTTAATTTTGTTTTTATTGCATCTGTCTTGAACTGCTGGTATATCACCCAAGCCATTTGCAAACTTCCCAAACTCTTGACAGAAACTTCTAAAATAGATTCTGAGCCAAAGAGGAGCAAAGCCTGGTTGAACTGAAACAGGTCTTTGAATTATTCTTGCTGAGAAAATAACCATCACATCAAGCTAACTTCAACTGACCAATAAGATTGGCACCTTCTGTTTTATATTCTTTTGTTTCCATATAAAATATGCTAAAATGTGAGAAACATTCTAGCAGGATTTAAATGTCACTTAAATGCCATCTTTGCCTCCACACTCCTCCCACACTTGAGTGAATACCCATAGCTTTCAAAGTTCAGAAGGTTACACGTATGCACATAGAACTGCGAGGTAAATATAGAAACACAGAAACAGAGAAACAGAGCAAGTCAGAAGGCACCTCCCAGGCCATCTAGTTTGACCCAAGGCTCCAGCTGGCTCTGCTCATGACATGCCTACCATGTGCAACTTATATAAATTGTATCAACTCATATGTTATAGGAGCTAAGGTTTTGCAATGAAGACAGACCTTAGAACTTGACTGGATCAAATTAATGCCTTGGTGCCTAAAATGAATATCCCATATGTACATATGTTTATTTTTCCCAATTATCACTATTCAGTTTTGAACTCTCTGATTTTACAACTCATTTTCTACTTATTTTTTCTAACTACCATTTGAACATACATGATAATGTATATTTTCATGAGTCAAATCTCAGCTCATATTAATACAGCATTCTATCTTGCTCTTAGTTTAACAAAAAGCTAATGCACATGGTAATTAAATATTTGATTGGCACTAACCTAAGGCATACCAGTGGCTTACATAGTTATTTTTAGAAATAGGGGAATACAACCATTATGAGAATAAGAACTATTATAGAGAAAGCAGGTTGGGAGAAGTTCAATGTGGCAAAGATTGAAAGAATTTTGAGGTACAACAGTATGAACAGTACTATGGAAAATGAGAGAAAATATCTGAAGTTTGAGGCTTCAGCAAAGTTCCATTAGCTAGAAAACTGTAGCACAGGTATAGGCAACTGCAGGAAGTTGGGAGTCATTTTCCATCCCCCCCACAATACACCAAATAAAACCCAAAAATCAGGTTCTCTGAAGCTGAAAGTTGGCAACAAGCCAATCCATAGTGTCTATGTAAAATAACTAAAAGTGCCCCTTCTACTGCTCCATAACCACTATGAAGTGACATTTTGCTTGTTTATTTGACATTCAGGGACAGGTGGGGGAGCAGCCAGGACTGCAACTGTAAAACACAAAACAAGATGTAGCCAACAAAGAAGAACGAGGAAGGGAAAAAAGAGGCATGCACATGCCTCTGTGTCACTCACTGTAGTGTCACATTATTCATAATTAATAGCCAAGTACTCACTTTCACTATTTGCCTGATTGAACCAACTATGAAGTTTTCTTTATATTTCTCACTGTGAGGATTCAAGATTTCATTCAGCATCTTCTCTCCTTCTTCTACAACATATTTCTGGCCTTGGAATCCTGGTTTCTCATATAAAATCCAGCTATTTTAATAATATAAACACATCACTGTAAATATGCTGCCCAAGAGATATCTAGGATAGCACCAATATTAGTAGAATGTCATTGCTCATGTTATAACAATTTGAACTCTCTCCTCTCTTGCACACTCACACAGAAATAAAGAAGTGTGCAGCTCTGGGGTATGGTGTGCACACAGGCTATTTTTTGTAATTTAGGCTTTTTCCTAGGAAAAATGTGTTCCTCCAACTTGATTTCATAAGATACTACAAGCCACAGAAACAACTACATTATGTTAACATATGTTAACAAAACATGTCATGAAAAGCATATGTATGAATGGATCCAATCTTTAGTAGTCTCCACTATTAAAATTAATAATGTTAAAAGGCTAGTTATTTGCTTTGTATCCCATCCTTCCACCAAGATAATGACACTTAAGGAGGTCATATATAAAGTCGTACATGACCTCTAAGTGTGGTTGCTTGTACTCATTCATGCTTTAGGCAGTATCTATGAATATATTCATAAAGTATCTACGATGCCCATGTAAACACATTGCACACAATGTTCAAAATTACAATAGATCCTAGGCGAAAGAAAAATCCTTCCCCCACCGCCAGCAACTACCTGTACTGTGAGTTCTGGGAAATGCAATTTCCCGGAGAAACATTTTAGAGGAAGATGAAGATCTTCCGCAGTACTTGGACTGCTTTTTCATTGCAAAACAAAGTAACCTAGAAAAGCCTTTAATGGTCTGGGCTACAAATTTTACTTATCTTGGCATTTTTAATGCTAAACTGTCTAATAGTGATTCTAAGGGTCACACTTCAGGTTCCAGAAATGTAATCAAGGACCTTGTTTATATTTCCAGCAGTATTAAGCAGATAGCAAATATTCAAACCATGGAAAACAATAACTGTTTTTAAATGATTCACCCCATCATCTGATCAATATGTGTTAGAATTAAATAGATCTTTACATGTATACATGCTCCTACTTTTCAACATATCAATTACTTGCAACATGGTATCTCTCTTCAAACAAAGAAAAAAATTAACAGTTATTTATAAAGAACTTGAAGCATTTCTTACCATCCTCTAACAACCCTTATCAATGCTTCTTTTGAAAACACCCAGGCCATAGCATTCAGCACATCGTGATAGATTTCATATTTATTTGTATTACCATGAACATCACAAATAACCATCTGAAAGACATGCAGTAATGTTAAGTAAAGGCTAACTCATAAGGCATTTACGTTTCTTAACTGAAGTATGCAATCCTTTTACCCAATGCTCTGCTTATTACCTTTTTAAGTAAAAGTTTTAAGATATTTTCATGTTTACTAAAGCTGTGATCAACAGAACAATGTGGCACAAATATTTATACAAATAAATATGTTTTACTTCATGTGTCTTGATCTCATGTAAGTGCACAAAAAGTTGCAACCTAAACCAAAACAAATTGAAAATCAGCGTCCACAGTCCACTTACACAGATGTAATATCAATGATTTAAACAGAATAGTGTAAGTTGAAGCACAAACTAATAAATATCATGATTAGCTTTTTGCTCTAGCAGAAAGCTGTATTGATTGCACCACCAAGCAAATGCAGAACATTATTTTTTCCATACTCAATGGCTTCACTCAAACATTTCTCATTTCCTTCAAATGTTTGACAAAATAGTCAATACTTTGTATTCACTTATACAATAACAAGGTCATACTCACTTTTCCTGGTCTTGGATTGCATTTGAGTTTTTCCCTGTCAACAGGACACTGTAATTATAATGAAGAGGAAATAGCTATTTCAATGGTACAATAAACCAACAGGAGAACTTTAACACACTATGCTTTTAGGGAAACATTCCTCACAGTCTATGGGGCAGGAACTAGTATGTCAGTGGAAAAAAACAAAAACATTTCATACATTATGTCCACATTGGGATCACTGAAAAGGAGGCAAACAATTCAAATTTCCTGACCACTTTTATGAAGGTATAGTGTACAAGACTTTGGGAGAAGTGGAGTCTAGAATACTAAGCAAGCAGTTGTCTCCAGGTTTTTGTAAGATCTACCTCAGTGTCTTCCGGCCATCATCATGAGCTGCTCTTGCTTTTTATCCTCTCTCTGATTATGGGTACCACTGGCTTGCTTGAAAGAGAGAGAGCCAGTGAGCAAGTAGGTGTCTACTGCTCCTTATCACAAAAAGGGTCATCAAGCAGATTACATTGATGAAGAAGAAAAGCAATTCCAGGGTTTTCTGCCAGTGGGCAGATGTCCGAGCATTCTTATCTTTGACAATGGTTTTGCAAGTATCAACTCAAACCAAAGCCTGTATTATTATGTTACTATTCAGGCAAGTATAGCTTATGATTGAGAACTTGCAAGGAAAGGGGAGATCTGCATACCACCAAATTTGTAAGCAAAGATCCCCTCATGGATTTGCTTCTCACCTGACATCTTGCTGTCTGATAGCTGTCAAATGAGAAGCAAAGTACCAAACCAGATCTATTTGTAGCCTTGCATTGTCAATGTTCATGGATGTTGCCTCCTGTACTATGACAGGAAATATCCAGGGCACTGATGTGCTATACCTGAGCATTTGGGGTGGCTTGAATTGAGCAGCCAACTCAATAACTAATTCAATTACTAATTCATAGTGAACAATAACTATATTAGAGTTAGTTCAAACAAACAAATCCCAAGTAGTTAAGATCAGGACACCCAAACAAATTCAAGTAGTTAATTACATGCACAAACACTTGTAAATGAAATGCCTGCAACAAGTTCATTCCACACATATAATCAATTAAAAGCACCTTACCACTTGAAATGGTGCCAATCTTTGCAAATCAACATTACTTTCAGGTTGCTGATCCTTTGGAAACAACATGCTTCCAAATCTGGTTCCATTTTCACTGGAGTAACTTCTTGAACTCTGCAAACATTCATAGTATACACTCTTGGGAAAAGACTTCATGACAGATTCAGATTTTTGCAAAGGTTGAGCTACATATGTTGAACTAAAAGATAAGGCCTCTTCTGTGCCAAGTGCTTGTTTAGAAAGAAAATCTGAGTGTCTCTCATAAATGTTTTCTGACTTTGCAGTTCTTGAGTTGTTTGGCCAGTGACTTAATATGCAGGCATCTTTTTCATCCTGTTCATTCTCTTCACAAATATCTTCTTCCTCTTCTTCATTACACTGGTTACTAGATTTTAACCGTTCAGACACTGACTGTAGGAGTGATAAGACAGATAAGGATTGGTTGTCTCTTGATTTTTCATCAGTATTTCTTGGTGAGATATCAGTTGATAGCAAGTCCTCTTGAGAACTGTCATCTTCATATATAGGTGACAAAGAGAAGGGGTAAACCTTATATCGCTTTGCTTCTACTACCATGAATGATTCTGAACAAGTGCTGTCTAGGATGTTATTCAATTGGTCACTTTCTTCATAAAGCTGAGCAGACCCAAGTGTACCTTTTTCTGTTTCAGCCATCAGAAGATGTTGGTTATTATCCAGGGAGAAGTCAGAAAGGGGTAGGGCATGCTCTGGTTCTTCTGTTGAAGAACAATAGCTTTCATCTTGAAGAGCACCATCATACAGAATAGTGAAGGAAGAATTGCCTTCCCTCTCCTTTGGTGAAGAAAAAGCACCATCTTCACCACCATCAGCATCCAGAAAGTATTTATTGAGCACATTAGCCACAGTTAAACTTGGTTCAGTAACTGCTTTTTCCTCATTGGCAAAATCTAAGTTCAACCCATTCTTTGCTGAGCTATTTGTTACAGATGATTCAGACAGACTGAACTGGGTACCAAATCTATTTTTATCCTGCGACACTGTGCAAGTTTTCTTCATATTTCCATATCCCCTGTTGCTTTCTATTTCGTAATATTTTGTAAGTGGTCCCTCTCTTACAACTGCAACAGCCTCAGCTTCTTTAAACATATACTTAGGGAGATCTTTCACTAGATCATTTTGCAGTGAACTCAAAGGACCACAATCACCTTTGAATTTATATGAAATGTGAGTGTACATATCATTGTTTGAGTTAGAAGTTAGCATATGATGTTTAATGATGTTTCCAGATTCCCAACAAACTGGCACAGATACAGATGATGGCAACTGCATTTCAGCTGTAACTATTTCTTCTTGTATTACATTTAAGGAATCCTTAAACTTATTGTCGGCTGCCAAGTTACTAGTGTTGTCACCAGCATCTATCATATGTGTAGTGCAATTTTCACATCTACTGTATTTGCCATTTCCTGTTTCTGTAGGACTGTATTCTAGGGTAGTTGTGGGATCAGACCATTTATCTCCAATTGTTTGGCATGAAAATGCATTACTTGCCACTACTTCCCCAGTCACAGCTTTGCTATTTTCTTTACTATCAATACACAAAGCAGCTGAGGAGCTTTCTATTTCACTTTTGCTGGTTATCTTGTCTATTGCAGTTGGGTATACTGGATCTAAATTCAAGGGTTCCTTGATTATTTTGGGAAGTTTAGCTTTTAATTCACTATCAGCAGGAAGTCTGTTTAATGCTTCAGTCTTGGCATCAAGGTGTATATTTTGAGAAGTACCATTGGTCAAAGGAACCTCATCCTGAAAATATGTCAGTTTGAGTTTGGCCGCATTAATAACATCATCAATTATTTCTTTTGCTTTTAATGCTATTGAACTATATAGGTCATTTTTATCAGTAATGTCAAATAGTATATTTTCATCTTGAATATCTGTGCCAAGTATGTCTTCCCCTTTAACCCCAGAAAGCTTTTTGATACAACTCTCATTAAAATGTTTTAATGATGAGTTCCTTGACTGGATTTCTTTTGATTCTGACAGCATTTTTCTTCTTTTCAGATCTTTTTGAAGGCTGGGCTCTAATAAATTGTCCTTAATGTCATTAGTCTGGCAGGCACCAGCTGTTTGCTTTGATCTGATTTCTTCCATGGCTAAATGCAGAACTGAATCAACGATTTCATCAGCCTTTTTAAGCAAAAGAGTTAAATCTTGAGATTTAATTTGTACTTGTTTTCCTGTTTCAACATGTTTCAATGGTTCCTCAAAAACCCCTTTGCTTGACTTTTTAAACAAACCAGTAATTGCTTGATCATGCTCTTTAGCAGGGCCTTTTGCAGTAGCAGTAGCAAGGTAGTGAAGATTTAGTTGCCCTAAAGGAATTCTATGCTCTTCTTTCCTCTGCTGTGTTGTGAACTCCATCCCTAATATCATCTTCGCAGGCTCTATAGCTTCTGCTTCAGAGACCAATAATACCTCTGAGTGAGTGACTTTAGATGTTGATTCAAAGGGTAGACGATTTAATTTATGTTTAGTTGACGTATTGCCCAGATCAGTTTCAGAATTCATAAGGGAATTGTTCTCTTGGATAGTATTAACATCTAGTATTTCACAGGTTGGATAAGGAGTTGAGATGCCTTTAAAGCAAGGAAGAGGAGAAGGAGGTTTGCTAGGATAGACATTTTCAAGAACAGGAAGATCTTCTTTTACCATCATGGACCTTGAGTCCACTGAACAAGATCCAGTTATATCTTTTATTTCTTCAGAGCATGGCAATATCTTTTCCCTCGTATCAGCTTTTACAACAGCTTCAGAGCTCAACTTAGTTTTAATGATGCTTCCAGATTCCCAACAAACATTGTAACTTTGATCTGTTTTTCCAGGTTCAGCAGCAAAATGAGGATTCCAAGGTCCAGAGGTCTCTAACTTTGCGCTATCTTGATTGTTTTCACATATAGAAAAAGAACAATTCACTTTGCCACAACTATTCTCTGCAGAATCAATTTCAGCAGGAGCTCTCATGAAGTGGTTAGTACCTTCTGGTTTATCAAACAAAGAACATGAAGCTTCCAGCAAACACTGATCTTCAGAAGTAGGCACAGGCTTAGACCTAGTGTCCAAGTGGGTGAATTGTTCCTTAAAGATGAAAGAATTATTAATTGGATCAGGTAATGGAGAAGAAAGGACTGAAAAACTATTATTTTCTGATTTCATAATAGGAGACAAATCTTTGGGCAAATGCATGTCTTTAGAAGGAGACACTGTGAAGAATTCCTTTGTTTCAACAGGAGAAGGAGATTCTTCTGTCATTTTAAGGGCTGATGGAATAGGTTTGACTATGGTAGCAGATACTTTGCTGTTTATAGGCTTTGTTTTTTCTAATTCAAGGGAAGGAAAGGCAACATCTAAATTGTTTGATGTTTTGATCAGACTGACATTCTCACCTTTCTTGGAAAGATGACTGCAGCTGCCATGTTTAGCTTCAAAGTTCTGTAAAGCATCGTCCAAAGGTACAATACCTCTGACAATGCTATTGTCTTCCATTTTTAAGAAACTACATAGCCCTTGGGATTCCACATTTTCATATTCAACAGCTAACAGAGAATGGTTGGTATTGTTTATCTCTGTAGCATTAGGTAAAACATTTGTCATTCCAATATGGTCAAATTCTACAGCAGATGTATCTTTGGCAAGACTGTTAGTTTCAATTTCAGAAATCACAGAGAATTTAGTACTGTTCTGTATACCTGTGTGTAACACTGGCTCAGTGAATTCGTCACTTTCTGGACTGTTCTTACTAAGTATATCTTTAACAGTTTCTGTGGGTTGGGCTGCAGTAGGTAGAACAATTCCTGCTGTTTCTTTAAGGGCTTTGTTGCAGTCCCTATCCTGCAAAACTAAGACCAGTTCTTCTTTAACTCTTTGTTCATGGAGTGGCAACTGCATATCTGGTGAAATTATCTGCAAGGTTTGCTCCTTTTGTTCAGTTAAAACTTTTATAAGTGAATCTTCATTTCTATTTACTGTTCTGTTATCTACCTGCCCATCACTAATTGTGCTATTCAAATACAGTGTCTGGTTCGGCAATTTTAATTTGAACTGATTCTGAGTCAAACTATTACAAGAACATTCATCTTCTAGCAACTGGTGTTCACTATCAGTTGAACCTACTTGGGAAAGAGATGGAAAGCCATTTTTCACTGTCTCTTTTGTTTCTGTGAAAGGAAAATTACAAGAATGCATTTCTTTTTGAACACCAATAATAGCGGCGTTGTTTGACTGAAGCTGCATTTGAATCTCCCCTAAAATCTCCTCTGTTTTTTCAACCAAACTGCTATTTTCTGAACACATTTTAACAGTATCTTTATTCTGGCAATTCAGATTAGCTTCCTTTGGCAATAATATTGGCTCCAACAAAAGGCTCCTGCTAAATTCTGGTGTGTTAGAAACTGAGCCATGTTTCACAGAAACCAGCTCTTCAATGCAGTTTTTGATAGTTTCCATTTCAGCTGACAATGCAATTATGTTTTTCTGTTCTTTGTGTTCTCTACTATCTAAGATATCCTGAGGATTTTTTCCCAAATTCATTTCTGCTGAAAATATGTTTGCTTGTGAATCTTTTTCGTCATCTTTAGTCTCAGATTTTGACTTTTTCTTTAATGAGAATCCCGTTTTTGTTGTGGTAACTTCTGAGTTTAGCACATTTATAGCCTGATTTCCTTTGGTTTTGTCAACAGAAATATTAATGCTGGTTAAGTTTTCTTTATCTTGCTCCAATTTTGCTTGTTTCTTAAGCAACTGTTTAATTCGAGCAGAACCTCGATAGGTTGCATAAGTAACTGCAGGTGCACAAAGTTCGTATTCTGTTTTTCTGGAACAACAGAAACATTATTATTGGTAGTTTAGCAAATATTCCTAGGCAACCTCACACATATAATTTATTTATCATACTTATATATTGCAAAGTGCCAACACTACATTAAATCCTGAAAAACTAAGGATTCAGTGTAGAAAAAAACCCTCAAAAACAGTCCAAGAAAATACATATATGTCTTTAGCAGCTTGCTGACCGCCCAAGGGAAAGCTCCGACAAGTAGCAGCTAATAGGACATGGCTTATGATGTCAACGACTGGTGCTGTTACTACTGACCGAGCATGGGCATGGCCCCTATGAGCACAGCAATATGATGCTCAGCTGCTGGGTCAACAGAGCTTCCATGCAAATAAAGAGGGCTCAGCATGCCCGCTGGGGAACAGATGCCATGGGGTCACCAAAATTACCGTAACACTAACCTGGGACAAGCCGCTAAGCCAAATATAGCACAGGAAACCCATTAAAAAGTAGACTTTTGAAAAAGCCTTCCTTGAGTAGCGTATCTTTCACATTTAATCAGGTCTACCCACTCTAAAAAATTACAACCATCAAAATCATGCCAGGACCGCTCATTTTTTTAACCCTAAACATACCCCAATGCACACCCCTCACCCTATTTTCAGGTTACAGGTGTGCACCAGGGTAGTGTTAGGGTTTGGAAAACGAGGTATCCAGGCATGATTCTGATGGTTGGAATGTGTTTAGAATGGGGAGAAATGATGAGCTGTGCAGAAATATTACTCAAGGCTTTTTCCAACTCTTACTATTTTCAATGGAACTATCAGCCTAAATTAGGGTTAGGGGTGTGCATCAGGGTAGGGTTAGGGTTAGGAAAATGAGGTGCAATTTTGAAAAAGCCATCCTTCAGCAGCTTTCTGTGTACAGCTCATCGTTTCTGCCCATTCTAAACACATTCCAACCATCAGAATCATGCCTAGCCTAACCCTACCCTGGTGCACACCCCTAAATCCTAAACCTAATATAAGAATAAATTTCCATTGAAAATCATGCAATATTGAAAAAGCCTTCCTTGAGTAGTTTTTCACCACAGCTCATCATGTGTGCCCATTCTAAACACATTCCAACCATCAGAATCATGCCAGGATACCTCGTTTTCCTAACCCTAACCCTCCCCTGGTACACACCCATAACCCTAATATAGGCTGATAGTTCCACTGAAAATACTGAGACTTTGAAAAAGCCTTTCTTGCGTAGTCTTTCTGTACAGCTCATTGTTTCTGCCCATTCTAAAAACATTCCAACCATCAGAATCGTTCTGCGATACCTCATTTTCCTAACCCTAACCCTACCCTGGTACACAACCCTAACCCTAGTACAGGCTGATAGTTCCATTGAAAACAATGAGACTCTGAAAAACCTTGAGTAGTTTTTCTCCACAGCTAATCATGTGTGCCCATTCTAAACACATTCCAACCATCAGAATTATACCAGGATACCTCATTTTCCTAACCCTAACCCTGCCCTGGTGCACACCCCTAACCCTAATATAGAAATAAATTTTCATTGAAAATCATGCAATTTTGAAAAAGTATTCCTTGAGGCGTTTTTTCGGCACAGCTCATCGTTTCTGCCCATTCTAAACACATTCCAACCATCAGAATCGGTCTGCGATACCTCGTTTTCCTAACCCTAACCCTACCCTGGTGCACACCCCTAAGCCTAATATAGGCAGGAAGTTCCATTGAAAATAAAACGATTTTGAAAAAGCCTTCCTTGAGCAGTTTTTTCTGCAAAGTTCATCATTTCTACCCATTGCAAACACATCCCAACTATCACAATCATGCCTTGATACGTTTTTCCAACCCAAACCCTCTTATGGAGCCCTCTTGTGGAGCACACCTCTAACCTTAACACAGGGGTAAGTTCCATTCAAAATAGGACCAATTTGAAAAAACCGTCCTTGAGTAGCTTTTTCTGCACAGCTTAACATTTATGCCCATTTAAAACACATTCCAACTATCAAGATCATACCAGGGCACTTCATTTTTCTAACCCTAACCCAGTTAGAGGCTAGGTGCCCAAAATATAACCCAAAATGCACCTATTTATTTCAAACAGAGAATGAACAGTCAGTTGAAAAATATTTGAAATGTTTGAAAAACATTAACATCTTTCGAATTAGCCGTTGGGCATGTTCCTTCTTACACTGATACTGCAGAACTACTGATTGATATATTTTAGCTTTTTCAGAAGTGTTTCACTTATACAGCTCCAGTTGTGGATTAGGGAGCAGAATGAGCACATGGCGAATATTTGTCCCTGTGCTTCTTCATCCAGCTGTAAGGAAATACACAGAAGACTACCTCCACATACACAACCCCTATCTAGATCAGGGTGTATATAGGTGCACACATACATGTATGAATCAAAAGATGGACACAAATAAATGTATTTCATATCAGTACATATTTTGCCTAAATGTAAAGGAATATATTTATGGTTAAATCTAACATTGTGCAAACAGTCGTCAGATCATACAATGGGACTTTCCTGTGCTCTCCTCCCCAATCCTGTCCCCTTCCATACTCCCCAGAAATTTTCCTTAGGGTCCTTCAAACCTCCTGAATAGATTTGGGAGCAGAAGCAAGTGGGTTTCACCAGCATCTATTCTTACATTCATGTTTGTGTTCTAAAAGACATGATGGAGAAAGAAAAATTGATGGGAGGGTGAAAATGTTGATGTTTACAGTTTTTCCCATATTGACTAGTTTGAATAGCAACAATTCAAAGAACTGGTTGCTTAGTCAAGCAGGGAGGGTACTGCAATCTCATCTCTTTCCTTCCCTTACAATAGCCAGAGGAAACAGATACTGGTAGATAACAGATGAAGAAGAGAAATCACAAATTTTCCTACGTAGTGTGTTGATCAGTGGGATAAAAGTGGCAATATGTAAATAAAGCAGATAAAGAACTGCTTTGTGGTGAACATTCATTATTGTTTTTTTGGTAATGTTTAAGTAACAACAAGCTTGAGGCAACAAGCACAAAGTAATCTTTTCTTTGGAAGCATGTACACAGCTTCACAGGATTTGAGAAGAAACCCACTTCAGACATTAAATGCACTACAAAGCAGTGCACAATCCTTTATTATTTCCTTACCAGTGCAGCATTTAACAAATTCAAAACTTCTCTTTGGTTGATAGAAGTAGGGTATTTTAAGACCAATATTATGTTTTAGCATTGTTAACTTTTATTCCTCGTTTATAATAAATATTTAGCAAAAACACCTGACCAGAAATTGGCTTTCTGTATCTCGGATTGTGTGATACATTTATTAATAAAAAACAAAAAACAAAATAAATAATCTTTGCCTGGTGGCAACCCCATATGTTTCCTGACCTTCTAAGAATCATACTGTGAAAAATGCTTCCCAAATTACCACCAGGCCATCCAAATTTTCAAGTGATAAACTCACAATGCCTAATTCATGTGTCAAACATTTGCAGGGCTAAGTGCTTTTGTGAACCAGCCAGCTGGATTTGCTGAAGGGATATTGTGGTCCACATCCTTTGTCCTCTGTAAACATGCTGCAGGCCGATTTCATGAATTCCACCTTCCTTGGCTCTAGGCCTGGAAAATTAAGTCCCTCCCTAATAGCACATTCTCCTACACCATGCAAAATTAACTTCAAACTGAATAGGTCATACAACAGCGTGAATCTCAAGTCCTGTTGAAAACTAGTGTTATAAGGGCACAGGTGTTAAATAGTTATATCATTGGCTAAAGAATATCTTCTAAACTTCTTCTAAACTGAAAACAAATAGTTCCTACAATTTTTGTGTAGTTTAACGCCTCTATGAATTATTGTTATTCTCCGCCAATGATATAGTGTCATTCAGAAGTATTCATGTCCCTTGGCCTTTCCACATCTGCTTGCATTACAATCCGGAATTGAAATGGTTTTAATTGGTATTGCTACCACTTGATGTACAACACTGTGAAAGTGCAAAACATTCCTATTGTGGCACAAAAGTTAATTAACAACAAAATGTAGAAAGTCAAATGGGGTGAGTATTTCTGCAAAGGAGTGCATATTATCAACAATGCACCTTAAAATTTTAGCAATCCCTTTAACTATAATGCCAAGAAATCAAGAAATGCTAGGAGAAACAAATATCTCACTCTACTTGTTTTGTATATCCTTTGCACAATCACCATATTTAACAACTACATGAGCAGCTACATAAAACACACCTATTCAGGCATTCTTCATAGTTCATTGCCATGTCCATTGCCCTCTACACATAGAAGGCAACTTGGGAAGAGAACTCTGGGGGCGTTCCATGTAGTTGGGAATGCAGAAAAACCAACCGTAATGCTGTTATATCTGGAGCAGTCAAAACCTGTGAAACTAATTAAGCTTGTGGTTCAAGTTTGCTTAGTGGGCTTCACAGCTGTTTGAGGATTTGAAAAGGAGCTTTTCACCTCTAAACTGAGCATTCTGGTATTTTGTCAAAGTGGTTCAGTACCCCAATATACCTTACATGTATGATGCCAGAGGTGCTAATATTAGACCTAGATCATATCGTTACATTCTGGAGTTTCCAAACATTCATATAAAGATATCTAATTTCCCTTGGAAAAAGTGCTGGGGAAATGCAACAAATACAGATAAAAGACAAAGCAGTAGTAGCAGTTCCATACAGCAAGGTTTTGTCAACATGGCAACGTTTAACTTGGTCTGAAAATTTTGTATTCTGAATTTTTACAACTATTGATCATGAATCAGAACTGCATATGTACTTGCATGCTTTCTATCTGTCCTTTATTTGTAGCATTTCCTACTTATTAATTATATGTATATATCATTTAATGGCCAAATCTCTCAGATTGGTTCAGAACATTAAAACTCTAAAAAAACAACATGATAAAACATAACATAAAATTTAGAACTTTAGTAAAGTTCTAGTTAACTTAGTAAAATTTAGTAAAAATGGCAGCAGGAAGAGATGTAAAACATTGTTTAGGACTGTAGAATTCATTGTAATATGAAACAGAACTTTCACTGCAAAAGATTCAAACAAAATGTAAAGATATATTTTATAACACATTCACATTTGCACCATATTTGCATATGCACAGCTACTTAAGAACCCTTACACCCTCCAAAGTCCATTTCTTGTGTTATAATTTTTGATGTCTCCTAATAATCTGCAGCAGTTAAATATTTTCTATCTTCTCCTCTCTTAAAAGTATACTTAAACACCCTTCTTTCAGCTTGGCAAACAATCTCCAAGATCACAGAGCAGCCAAGTTTGGAAAATACTAGTAATTAGGTCAAAAGCTGAAAGTCACGAAACACTATTTAAAAATCAAGCACGAAAATATGATACCAACAAGCTATTGACATCACTGGCAAAATAAAACTAAGAGGAAATATATTGTTTTGTTTTTGCCCTCCTCATTCTTTTTCCCCCCATCCTGGGATATCATTAGATATTTATTGAGTAATACTACTTGAGTTGTGAAGGTGTTGTTCAGTTGTTAAGATAAATTTATTGTCAAGTATTATATTATTGAGTATTTTATTAGGGTTTTTTGTTATTTGATGCAATAGTGGTATAATTTTTCCTGGATTTAAAAATAAAAATAAACATTTTAAACAAAAGGTAAGTTAAGATCTAGAGTGAAAATCTAACTTCTGAGTGAAGATCCTTACAATGGAACTGTAAGTACAACTGAGTTTAATGGGGCTTACTTTCTGGCAAGAATACTTAGCGATCTACTCTTTACGTACTTTTATCATAGCTGGTTTTCCTCGCAGTTTTTAAAACATAAAGATGTGCTTTAAGTTGCTGTGACAGCTACAACACATAATTAAGGCTAAAAATTTCTACGACTTTCCAAACCATGATGTCTTATCCTCAGGAATGAAAACACACCTTCCCAAGAATTTCTTTTTAAATACTGCATTGAACAGAATGTTCTCTTTAATTTTTGTAGGTACAAATGATTTTTAGACATTGTACTGGAACTTACTTGGACACTTCAGCAGATTGCTTCTGTGCTTCCTGCAAATCCTGTGAACCAGAACTGGTATTTCTAGCAAAATTAATATCTTCATCTCTGTTTGATGCTCCCTGCTCACTTCCAAAAGTTGAAATAACAAATATTTCTGTTTTGTGATGTTCTGTATGTCCACTTCCTTCATGGCCAGCTTTGTGGTGTACATTTGCAGGGGTGGATTGCTCACTTTCTGTGTAGGATGGTTTTGAAGCAATACCAAATAAACTCCCAAGATACTGGAAAAACCCTTCTTTGATCTGTCTGTCAGTACTGGCAGTTTTCCCTTCATGAGCCAAACTAGGAAGGCTACTAGCTTTCTTTAATTCCTCCTGAGTGGTGGATCTGCTCAGTTCTTCTGTGGAGAGGTTTTTATTTTCACAGACTGAAATCTGTAAGAAAAGGAAGCAATAAGTTAATTAAATTTATTACTCCAACGTTCCATGAGAATCATTTAGGTGGTTATTCCTATGATTGGAGTGAACTTGTAAGATCTTCATTCCTTTGTTTTATTTAAAAGACAGAAGTCTGTGACAAGGTAAGGTCTTCATTCCTTTTAATTCAGAGCCTTTGCACACATATGTTTAAAAGCAGATTAATTTGTTTTAAAGCCAAAGTGGTTTCATTTCAGGAGATTCAGATTGCAAAGAATAGAAATCACACAGGTTTAACACAGCAATAAAATGAATGCAGAACCAGAAATGCACTTGCAACTGTCATCAATAACACCAAATTTTGATTTTCTTTGAGGCAAAAACAAGCAATCCAAATCAATAAAATGAACTATAATTGTTCATATTATTTGTTAGGGTTGTTATACTAAAATTTAGTATGTGTTCTGCAAATTTAGCATTATTTATTTACTAAGTAATAAATGGGTTCTTTAATGCATTTATAGAACTTTCTGTTTACAGTCCATGAAATGCATTATGAAAACATTAATGGTAGCATTTTGATCAAACAAATGTATTGCATGAAACGTATTTATGAATATGAAAACTGTATCTCAAGTTTGAAGATTGTTGGGCTTGATGATGATGATTGACTGGCCCAGAGTTACTGGTTGAGTTTCATGGCTGACTCTGATTTTGAAGCAGGATCTCCAACTCAGTACTCAATCTACTTAAACATACTGCCTGTTTTAGAACTGTTTTGGAATGCTTTTAAACAGTACACACTAGTGTTTTGGCCAAGGCACTAGAACATGAGTCATACTGACTAGACTCATTTCTGCTTCCATCACTGTTGGAAATTAGCTCCTTTACAGAAGGCTTATAGGAAAAGATGCCTTGAGGGCTGATTTTGCAAAAGAAAAAAGAACAAAAAATAAAAAAGCATAACACTACATAATCCTTTGTGGAAGTTGTTATGCAGCATAAGCACTAAAAAAATAACACCAACAGCTTTTTTTACTTTTTAAACTCTCAGTTCTTTAGAACTAAACTTTTTTCATTTATTAATTCTTCATATGGTGACTTTAAAATGGGCATGTTGTATTGTGTGGATATTTAAAATCATCCAAGCCATCCAATCCAGAACTCTGCTGAAAAAAATGTTTTAGAAAGTCTGTATATTCTGGACTGATTATATTAGTAGTATATTTACACTACGGTAAGAATTTCTATCATTCAGCAAGTTGTTGCATAGGGTGTATTTCACTAACTCCTCAGACCTATTTCTATCTGAAGAGAGAGAGCTAAAAATCTGACAACTGTTTTAAAATGGCTAAATGGGGAGCGTCAAGTTGAAAGACAACTGTACTAAGATGACATTTGTTTTAGCAAGCAAAATCTTTATACTTGAGTGGCAGTTAATGTTTTACAAGAGAGGTAGTACAACTGCTGATCAAAATGGCCATCCTTAACCTTTGTAAAACTAATTAATGTGAAAATATTGTTAAAGAATGAAGATTTATTGTATGGGCATTTCATATATCTATCAGTTAACATGATCATTGCTTTGTTTTATTTTCAGTAAAGCTAAAGGAAGTGACTGCTGTGTAAAACTGCAAACCCATTAATCATGAATACAATCTTCTGTAATTTCTCCCTGAGATTTTAGGTAGGTTCTCAAATTCCTAGTGGGTCAACTTGTATTTCTGATGTAATCTAAATTAAAATGGAACCATGGCTTTCTTACTGTAATGATTAATTAATTTAAAGCACAGGCCACTACAAGTTTGTTGTTATTGCTATAGCTGGGGTACAATTCTATCGAGATGCATATGAGCTCAAACTCAGGGGTTCATATTCAACCAATGCAAAGCATGAGGAGCAACAGAGGTGATCTTGTTTCCTTATTCCTCTTATTCTGCATTTACACTGGATTGTTGTTTTGGTGTTCCCGAGGGGGAGAGAAAGAGGCTGAAGCAGTTTCAGCATATTGCCTATCCTGGCCTCTCCCATCTTCTTCCCTCTTTAAAATGCCCCTTTTAATCCAAGCACACTTTCTGCACCAGCTGCAAAGGGGCAGGGGAGGGGGATCAGAATTCCAATTCTCCAATGAAGTAGAGCACTGTCTCTAGTCTTGGAATCCAAATTATCATACAGTATATCACAGAAGTGAGTACACCCCTCACATTTTGTAAATATTTTATTATATCTTTTCATGTGACAACCCTGAAGAAATGACACTTTGCTACAATGTAAAGTAGTGAGTATACAGCTTGCATGACAGTGTAAATTTGCTGTCCCCTCCAAATAACTCAACACACAGCCATTAATGTCTAAACCGCTGGCAACAAAAGTGATTACACCCCTAAGTGAAACTGTCCATATTGGGCCCAAAGTGTCAATATTTTGTGTGGCCACCATTATTTTCCAGCACTGCCTTAACCCTCTTGAGCATGGAGTTCACCAGAGCTTCACAGGTTGCCACTGGAGTCCTCTTCCAGTCCTCCATGACGACATCATGGAGCTGGTAGATGTTAGATACCTTGCACTCCTCCACCTTCCATTTCAGGATGCCCCACAGATAGGGTTTAGGACTGGAGACATGCTTGGCCAGTCCATCACCTTTACCCTCAGCTTCTTTAGCAAGGCAGCAGTCGTCTTGGAGGTGTGTTTGGGGTCGTTATCATGTTGGAATACTGCCCAGCGGCCCAGTCTCTGAAGGGAGGGGATCATGCTCTGCTTCAGTATGTCACAGTACATGTTGGCATTCATGGTTCCCTCAATGAACTGCAGCTCCCCAGTGCCAGCAGCACTCATGCAGCCCCAGACCATGACACTCCCACCACCATGCTTGACTGTAGGCAAGACGCACTTGTCTTTGTACTCCTCACCTGGTTGTCGCCACACACACTTGACACCATCTGAACCGAATAAGTTTATTTTGGTCTCATCAGCCCACAGGACATGGTTCCACTAATCCATGTCCTTAGTCTGTTTGTCTTCAGCAAACTGTTTGCAGGCTTTCTTGTGCATCATCTTTAGAAGAGGCTTCCTTTTGGGACGACAGCCCTGCAGACCAATTTGATGCAGTGTGCAGCGTATGGTCTGAGCACTGACAGGCTGACCTACCACCCCTTCAACCTCTGTAGCAATACTGGCAGCACTCATATGTCTATTTCCTAAAGCCAACCTCTGGATATGACGCTGAACACATGCACTCAACTTCTTTGGTCGACCATGGCGAGGCCTGTTCTGAGTGGAACCTGTCCTGTTAAACCGCTGCATAGTCTTGGCCACCGTGCTGCAGCTCAGTTTCAGGGTCTTGGCAATCTTCTTATAGCCTAGGCCATCTTTATGTAGAGCAACGATTCTTTTTTTCAGATCCTCAGAGAGTTCTTTGCCATGAGGTGCCATGTTGAACTTCCAGTGACCAGAGTGAGAGTGATAACACCAAATTTAACACACCTGCTCCCCATTTACACCTGAGACTTTGTAACACTAACGAGTCACATGACACCGGGGAGGGAAAATGGCTAATAATGCCCAATTTGGACAGTTTCACTTAGGAGTGTACTCACTTTTGTTGCCAGTGGTTTAGACATTAATGGCTGTGTGTTGAGTTATTTGGAGGGGACAGCAAATTTACACTGTTATGCAAGCTGTATACTCACTACTTTACATTGTAGCAAAGTGTCATTTCTTCAGGGTTGTCACATGAAAAGATATAATAAAATATTTACAAAATGTGAGGGGTGTACTCACTTCTGTGATATACTGTATATTACCTAGGAGTGACAGGATTGCTCAGTTCATTTACTAAACATGTATACAATGCCAGGAAAGCATTTCAGAATGAGACACAACATTAGCTGTGTAGCAAGTCACAACTGGTTGTGTTTTGTTGCACTGGCAAAACAAGGCAGCTTGGAACTTCATAGAGCCAGTTAACTGTACCACTACTTGATCTGAGCAAACATAGACAACAACCACTATTGTCAAATGTCATATAAAATTGTGACATGATAGAGAAATGGATAGAGATGAAACATGTTGGAGGACTCTGTTTGTAACTGCATTTCAACCCCAATGAACTGTATCTATCAGCACAAGTTTCACCGTAGTGAATAACTTGTTAAGACAAAAATATAAAAACTGACAGGCAGAATAGCAGGAAAGCCCTGCTCCATGTCTCATATAGGATATTACTGTGGTAAGACTGATCCATGCTGTTCTATAGTACTGCAGCTATGCCTATCAGCATGGTAATTACTCACAGTCTATGTCCATCACTCTCATGTATGTTTATGCTCATAGCCATAAACATGTGTAGAACGGTTGGTTTCCCATAGCACATTCTCCCATAATCAATGTCATGTTTTATGAACCCATCGATGACCTGAGGGGTCAAAAATCATGCATGCAATGTTCTCATGGCTCCTCATCGGCCCATGCGCACAGCCAGCACCACCTTTCTGGCTCGCGCCCAGCACCGGCACCTTTCAACTGGCTCCCTGGTGAAAAAGTTTGAGGACCCCTGCTCTAGTATTTCCTAGGATAAACAGATGCCCTGTTTATCTTAGAAAAAGCCACTCTTGTGTATTTGCTCACCCATACTCATCCATGTGTACAGACTTCTCCTATATTATACTTTAGATACTAAGGATGTAAACCTATGTTTAGACTGGGGAAATAAATTACAATCCACAGCATTCCCCAGCTAGTATGCTGGGAATTGTAAAACTATTTTGCTGCCTAAATATACATGAAATTGCACTCTGAGTGATTGGCAAATAAGGTCAACAAATTAAAAAGTCAACCAGTCCTGGTTCCTTTAAAATCAGAAAATAGAAATCAGACCTTTAATAGCTCTGGGAGGGGGTTGCTTTCCTTTCTGTGATAAAGTGCACTTGTAGTTTCATTTTCCTTAGGGTCAAACCTGAAGGGGGGGAAGGAGGGAGAGAGACACAGAGAGAGAGAGAGAATTAATTAGCTATTTTAAGTTTGAGTTTATATGAAGCATTTCCAGCATTTGGTAGAGTGATGAAGTTACTCTTTATTTTCCTCATGCTACTCTCCTTTCACGGACAACTTCCTCATTGTAGTCAAAGCACTTTCTTCAACTTTACAGCCTTTCTATAAGCCTACTTCTTCTCTTGAAAAAAGCTTCTCTTGAACTAATAGGGCTTCTTTGGTCTGAGTTAGGGATTGCTTTGCTAATAGAACAGATTTGCCAGTTCTTGTCTCTAACTTCATTTTTACCCAGACTGTTCAACCACAGAGAGATACTTCACATGTTAACATATGTAGAATATCACAACACAATTTAAACATGGATTTCATGTTAATTTCATACTAAAATGAATGAGAGAAATGGAAAATGTTTGCATGCAATAAGCCAATTATTTAACTATGTATTAAATGTAAATATTCAAATACCAGTTCCTTACATAGACTGTAGTGCCGTATATAAGTGCCATATAAGACATCATTCTGCGGCATTGTGATTACATTATCTCAGCAAAGTTCTAAATAATTAGGACAGGATAATGGGTTGGGACACATGATGAATTAATAGCAATCAACACAAATTTGTTCTACTTGGGAATGTTATTGAATGAGAAGTTCTGCATTTCTCTTCCTTTTGTAACTGATATCAAATGCTTATGCCAAAATAATTTCTGTTTTCATGAATGGAACTTGCATTAGAAAAACTATTCTGAAAACGGAGCTGTCATGTAATCCAAATAGAAACAGTCAAAGAGCTGTAAGAGCACTTAAATCCTGATGGACTATCTTATAATTTAAGTGTATAATGATATGGTAGATCTTGGCCACTATGTTTTCAAATTCCTCAGTGTATTATTCGGTAATTTACAATGTAAATAAATTATTTTAAACCCAGATTCTTTTTCTGAAGCAAGAAAAACAACTATCAGATTTGTACTATTTCCCAGTAAATGAAGCTAGTTTCTAAAGGGGAAACAATAAGCTTACAATTGTTGACACCAAAAGTATATTTAGGACTGGAGAACAAGCAAGTTATTGCTACACAGACCCTGGGTGACCTAGATTATCATTTTCACTACAGAAAAAAAGAAGAAACAGTTCACTGTTTCTTTCACAGAATGTTCCACAGCTGCAAGTACTGGAATGTATTCTTGAAAGAGAAAATCAGGATATTAGGATTACTTTTGTTCTTAGAGAATAACTACAAAGCTTTACTTTACAATGTTAAAACCAGAGGACAGCTAATGTGATACACTATAATAGCAGTCTGGTTGTATAAACTTTGTTCACTTGTAAGAAACTGTATAACACACTGGCAGAAACAAAAATTAGCATTACTGCAATGTAATACAAATACAAAGACTTGTAATTACATAGCCCCATTTTCTTACAGAAAATATTGGCATTAACAACTCTTCTGTAAAGTCATATATAAAGTATTTCCATGTTTATTCCAATGGCATTAACTTTAAAATGTAGTACACCAGTTATTAAGCTGTCACTACAACAATGATGAGTTTATATATGCATGGACATTATAATATATGAGCATAAAGTGTTTTTGGCTGACCTAAACTTGCATGCCTAAAAATGATTTCCACATAGAGGACTTTATGGTACACACAAAATCATTATGCATAGTCTGATCATTTTTGTAAAATCTTTCTATTAAGCCCATACTCAAAATAAGGACAGTACAAGGTCTATTACAGCATAGTATCTTTAGAAATCAGGATGAATGTGGCTCCAAATAATACTCATATTAAATCTAAAAGAAGTTGTTCCATTCTAAATTAACAATCAGCCCAACATTGACAAAGGCTCAGAAGAGTCACTTATGCTCTTCTTTGAGTCACCAAACATCTTGAAGCAAATAACATAAATGTCTGGGTCTGCTGGAGTTACTAAATTCACTCACCAATTCTCCTAATGTTTCTGGACCAGCAGAAGATTTTCAAAAATATTTTTTCAGATCTCAGTTTACTGAAGCACAAACCTTTAAATGTTTTCCCCAAAGGAACCAGGACAAGACTTCTTGTGTCCTGGTGTATTTCATTTTCTAGAACAATGTTTTTTCATACATGAGGACAGCTTCCTTTGGAAGATCATGAGGCTGTTAGGGTAGAAGTGAGCTTCATCATGGGATGTGACAAAGCTAGTAGCAGCCTATTGATTGTCCTTTGCCCATTAAGATGGAGGAGTCAAACTAGTTTACGAGAAATACTCTGAAAAGGTTTTGTTCAAATGCAAGATATACAACTCAATTTTGTAAAAATTAAAATTCTTGATGTAAAAGTTTAGATTTAGAAAAAATGAAATTAAATCAAGAACAAACAAATTATTATCACAGACTTGATGGCAGCCTGTTGAAACATCTCAGTAAGATCTCCTACAATCACTATCTGAAAATACTTTTGAACAAAGTATGCAATGAAATCTTCAAAGTTTGTCTTAGCATTTGACCAAGTGTATTTCCATATCTTTGTTCTTTTTAACAATCCTTTGGATTTGTAAAAGAAAAGCCCTTCCCCTCTCTTCCTTTACTGAGCCACCCCACCCACATTATGTACACAAAGGTCTGTTTTGCAGTGTTAGACACCAATGCTTGGAACTTAGAAGGAAATTGAGTGTAGGCAGGAAAATGTGCTGGATTTGCAAACACAATTGGCTGAGTATGGGGGAAATAAGGCAGAAAGATAAGTACTCTGATGAGAGTTTAGCCGTTTCAAGACTGTGCACCTACGCTTGCTGCCAGGAAAGCAATATAGTTTAGACCTGCTAAGAACTGCCAGAATATTGGTGTCAACATCCTAAGTTAAGTAACATGATTAGTATAATAATGGAAGGGTCTAATACAGGTTTGAGTGAAATAAGTTAGTGCAGAACAGACACATATATGCCAGCCTGAACATACAAGGAATTAAGGATGCATTTACCTTGGCAGATTACATTTTATTCATTTCCTGTCTTTTTTCTTCATATAAGGAATTAAAGACAGCTTCTAAGGTTTCTTGCTCTCCCTCTATCCTCACAACAACCCTGTGAGGTAGGTTAGGCTGAGAGAGAGTGACTATCTCAGAGTCATCCAGTGAGCTTCATAGCCATGTGAAGACATCTCCTAAGTCCCAGTCCAGTATTCCAACCATTGCACCACACTATGGAAAATGCTTCCAATCCAAATTCATTAATATACTGGAATACTTATATAAATATTAAATACGTGTGTGTGTGTGTGTTTGTAGTACAGTCAACAACTCTAGAGCATTGTGAAGTTCTTAAATGTGAGGAACATTTAAAAGTTCAAATAATCTAAAAAGCAGCTGTAGGAGTATTCATTGAATAAAACATGATTAATGTTGAGGTAACAGGCCAAGTGACCAGCTACTCTGCAGATGAGCTGCTGAATTTCACCTTTCTTGTTATCAATTGCATTGTTACCATTTTCCTGTCCCATTGACAGCTGGGATGTCAAGAAAGCAGAGGCAGGTGGACATGGGGAAGGTGATTTTCTTAAATTTTCCTGTCCTCAGAAAACTGGGGGCTTTCAAAATACAGTGGAAGATAGTACAAAAGTGGGAGGTAGAATCTGCAAAAATCATCCCACTCCTTTCTTTTGCAGGAACTTCTACTGCATAAAGGTCCTTGCATTAACAGAAGAATTAGAAGTATGAACACTGGTTGGATTCAACCCTAGAAAATTCTTTAGGCCCTAAAGATTCAAGACAATTGTATGAAATTGTTTTTCCATTGTTATTTGCTCTCCCTTTCCTTACTTGAATTTTATCTCTTGGTGTTTCTCTTTTGGGATTACCACACTGTCCTTCATTCCCAAATTAATGTGCAAGACATTATGGAAAAACCTGGACTTTACTCTAGTGATGATTCATTTACTAACTCAACACATTGAGCTAAAAATGAAGCGTTTTACTTGACGTTTCTCTATATTAACCCAGAGAAGCAAAGCCAGTGCATAGCTGAAATAGGAATATCAGTTCTATATTAGAAGGTGATAAACTATGACAATGTGAAGAAAGCTGTGTTTCTGTACTGCAAGAAAAGCACCAGGATATCAGATATTTCATTCAAATAGGCATCAACAAATGCAACTGAGACATTTTTTCAACAACAGAGAGTCATGCTTGCATGGACTCACATTAAGAACGTAAGAAGAGTCCTGCTGGATCAGATCAAAGGACCAAAATTTTGCAGTCAAGTAAATTTGGTTAATCAAGAATGATTAATATTGGTGTATCTACAGCATTCATATTCAATACATACCTTGTACCAACATTAACAGGTAGTAGCCATGGCTCGGAGCTAGAGAAATGTTCTAAGTTTGACTGTAGCACTTTCTAGCTTGCAGAAAAAAAAGAAAACAACCAGGTCCAGCATGAGCAGGTTGTTTCTGTTTTGTACAGTGTCAAAGCAAAACTGGGAAGCAATGCATATGCTCATTCACCAGCTTAAAAAACATGGTCATCTCTGATATAGAGCACAAAAGAAAATGAAAGCAAAAACAAATGAAAACAAATCCAAACAAATATTTTTGTATGGATTTATATACACTTTTACACAGCAATCTAATACTTTATGATTACACTATAATAAAGTTTTCTCAGAGGTAACCATTGCTATTGAAAGAGGAAAAAACCCTTCATGACCCTCACACCTAAATATTCCTATAATATCAAGACTGCTTAAAACTCAACTGCTTAAAAACCTCTCTGAATTTCAGGTCTAACATCAAAAATCAATATAGTTGACCACCAATATTAAAAAAAATAATCTGAGATATTTATGAATAACATAATGTTTTATTTTTGCACAGATCTCTGGTTCAATATTGAACACCAGGATTATAGCAGATTACACTGAGATTTTTCCTCTGGCATCTGCCAAGCACAGCAACTAATATTAATACAGACTATA